ACGATTACTATATACCCTCCCGCTTTTCAAGCGGGGGGTATAATCATGTCACCTTAGGCATAAATAGATGTATTTGACATAATGTCACAGTGTCTGTTTTCACATTTTAGTGATTAACACTATATTTTCCTTAGTTTTTCACTAAAAAATAGCACAAGTACTTAAAGCTGACCACCAACATGTAGCATTTGACTTAATTTTGCCATTTCACATGCCTCAAAATTTAATTGGAATTAGCTTACCTTAGTCATGTTAGTGTTCACAAGGAGCTAATGCAAAGTAATTTAATGCGCAGTAAATTAATTCGAATTAAAATAATTTGAATTGAACTCAGTCCATGTGAACATGCATCGATGCACCAAATGTCTAGTGCGGTTTGACAAGCCTGATCTAAATTAAAAGTGAATAAGTATCTGCCCTTACCATGCTTATCGTACCCTAACATCACACCCGTCAACATATTATTAGTTGAAAAACATTTTGTTTTGATTGAAAGCAAGTCTTGTTGAAATTACATGCTCACACATATTTAAATAAAATTTAAAGCTGTGGGGATTTTAAAAGGCTAACTGAGAGCGTCTGAACTGTAAAACAGTTAATATATCGCTGTGTCTGTGTATTTCTAAAAATATCGACAGCTGATAAATGCTCTAAGCTGCCATAGTAATATAATGTAAATTTTAGGTAAACAAAAATCTTACCTTCGAATTCATTCCCATGGTCCACGCCAATCATAAATTAAAATGTAACCGTCAGCTCTTTAATCATTCGATACAATTATCACTGGGGAATCCGAAACAGAGTCAAGAGTGCTCATCCTTGTTTATTACTGTGACAGTCGGAATTTCCTCGTAAACAATTCACACAAGAATATATAAATCGGATAATTTTGCTTAGAATAATGCTCCAGAGGATTGATAAAGTACTTTGAGCTGCAGATAAAATGTCCGTGCATGTTTACATACGGCTTGTATGGTGAGAAAATCCTCAACTTCACTTTGTAAACATGATCAACATGTGTCCGATTTGTCGATTTCGATGGGACACACTGAAACCCGGATGTACTAAAGACCTGAAATTACCCGATGTTTTTATTTTAAATTAAATGATAATATTGAGTACTTAAAATGTCTTATTTTAAAGACCTTTGACTATGATGCATTATGTTATACAAGAATTCATTTGTTTGGAATATTACTGACAATTTTTAATCAGGTCAAATCAGGAATTTAGCATATCAAGTCTTTAGTACCTTCCCGTTTCCCACAATGCCGCGCGTTGTTTACACCTATACAAATGCAGAAAAAACCCATTTTGATTTCATCTTTTGTTGTGTACATACATCACATTTTAAATTACTTGCACAAAAAGAAAACAGAGAAACACCGAATCATTACTATATCTTACTGATGAATCAACTAAAACCATGGACCTATGTTAGTATTTCATAGGTCCCTGCTAAAACTGTGCGTTAGTGGCACAGTAAAGGCTTGGCTGGCTACAGTAGCTAGACAACTTGTCCATGCATGTAAGGTTTCCCACATATTTGTTTTATAAAAAACAAATTTAGTTTGGAGTTTGTTTATCTTTATACCAAATGGCAGGGTTTTTCATCAACTCGAAATGATTTCAGATAAAATTTTTCATAGTATAACTAGCTGTTACCATTAAAAAATTAATATTTTTAGCTCTCAGAAAAAAAAAACGTTTATGATCTATTTACCCCTGGCCTAATTATAGGGGCCAGCCCCTTTTCCTTAATCTTATATGAATGCTCTCATAATTACGCACAACTTTTGTTGTATATTTCTTGCCAAACTATTCTAGGTGCAAAAGTAATTACGCGTTTTGACCGGAAGTGACATCATTTGACGACTTTTGACAATTCCGGCATTATTTCCGGCTGACATCACAGTCAGCAAGTCAGAAAAAAATTGAAAAACTCAAATTCAGTCGCTTTATTTGATTTATTTTGATTCAAAGGAAAAACTTTGAATTTTCGACTACTTCCGGTTTTTACCGGAAGTACTTCTGATGGATGCTTTTTGTTGAGGATTGTGAATAAAAATATATGTTCTATTTGCCTTTAATCAATCCCGTTAAATTTTTCAAAAAATCTTAAAATTAAACATCCCTTCCTGTGTCGACCGGAAGTGACGGATGCGAAATTAAAAGACGTCATGCATAACTCAATAAGATGTTTTATAATCCCTGAAAATATCATGATTCAATCTTGAGTGGTTTACAAGAAGATGCTTGGACAAAATGACAACTTAAAAAAAGAAAATCGGACAAAAAATGCGACCGGAAGTGATTTTCAAAAAAATGAAAAAAAGGTCTGGAGATATTACAACAATGCATCATTCCTGAAAAAATCTTTGAAATCGGTTCAGTAGTTTCGGAGAAATCACGTGTACTATGAAAAGGGAAAAATAATAATAATAGGAAAAATAAGGTCTTCCGAAGGAAGTCGGAAGACCTTAATAACTAGATGAGAAACTCGTTGCGAGCAACGAGAGGTCTTCCGTCCAATTCCGGAAAGAAAAAGTAAAATCGAGCTGAAAAAGTAAAAAAAAAAATTGCACACAAGGGGGGTTGAACCCAAGTCGCCATCATGAAATTCCAACGCACTAAATATAACGCTATCGGGACCTCTACTCTAAATCTACTTGTAAATATTAACGAAACAGTGCTTTTCTCTTAAAATTATGAAAGACGGGTCACTATTCAAAATTTAGCGCTAAACGCCACGAGTTAATCGTCGCCCCTTTTCTTTGGAATGTTCTATTAAATAGGTGTGATAGCTTCAATGAAATTAAGAAAACAACGTTCTTATAGCCTTAGATTCGAGGTTTAGAAAGTATATTTAACACATTTTACAAATTCCAATTGTATATATGCATGTAACACTAAAGCTGTGAGACGGTTATGAATTTTTTTTCAATTTCCTGTTTCTCCCCAAAGTGAAGTATCCCGATTAGATAATCGAAAAAGGTTGAAACGTTTCGCCGAAAAAAATGGCTCGCCCTACGAAGGTCAAGGATCAGATATCATTTATGCTTAATAACTTGAATCAGTCTTTAAAAGAATGCTCAAATAAACTCCATGAAGCGATATTTTAAAAAATCGTTTTCTTATTTTTGTATTATTTATTAGTTTAATATGACACAAGTGTGCAAAGGAAAAACCGAGTGGTTAAGATACATACTGACAATACTAATTTATATTCTTTTTTGAGAAAGTATTACTTTTAAGTGTGATTTAAGATCTGTTTTTCCGTAATGCACAAAAGATATTAGGTATCGAATTTCATTTGCACATTTAGTCTTTTCTTTCTCTACTTTGAAAACCAATTATAGAAGACGTTAGTTTGACACAGAACTGCAACGTAACTACGACGTGACAATCCAAGTATTCCTTTACATTCCATTAACACTTATGTTACTTTTGTTCAAGCAAACGCTCGGCTGACTCCATAAACGACTATTGCGAAATGTCGGCGTTGACTGAGACAGCCGCCATTTTGGACCCGCTTCAGATTTTTGAATGCTAATATCTAGAGTTTAGATTTATCAACATTCAAACAAATTAAATAGTAAGCATTATAAGGAGGATTTCGATTGAGATACCAAAAATAAATGAAAAATACTGAAAAACAAAAAAGTTAGAAAATACGATTTTTTTTAAATTTGCATCTCGGAACGACCGGAAGTACTGACGACGCACGAAAAGGTGATTCTGCAAACCAGAAAGTCATGATCTATCATCTCCAATAAGTCTCCATATCATATACTCTGCCATTTTCGATAAAAGTGCGCGACAAAATCGCATTTTAAAATCAGGAAATTGTCCATAACTTGGCACCAGATGCGAATTTTCCAAATTTTTCTTCGGATGTAACAACTTCATATAATGACACATATTTTGTGAAAGTTTCATGAGAAACCACTGAATAGTTTTCGAGAAATCGCGTGCACAAAATTTTTGTCAAAAAAAGAATAATAATAACAAACAATACAATCACTAAAAGGTCTTCCGTGAAGACGGAAGACCTTAACTAGATGCGTTCTTGTTGCTGGTGCAACAAGCAGGTCTTCCGACCGATTTTTGTTACAATTCTATACTGCGTCATCCCACGAAATAGATTTCAGAATGTTTTTTTTTTTCGTTTACGTTCATATACAGCAGCCTTTCAACATACCTCATGATTATTACAAGTATTACTCAAAATATCTCAAAAATAGCTTTTAAAAATCGGCAAAATCTTCCATACGTGTTATAAAAGAGATTAAAGTCATTTGAGACAGAAAAAGACATAAACAAAGAAAAAAATTTTGAAACGGCCCTAGCGGGATTCGAACCCCCGACAGTAGGACAAAGTTTGGTTCGGTCATAACTTTTCAATATATGCACGCATCAAGATACTGAACACATATCTAGAATTCTCATAAGACACACTATAAACCCTGTAAATCCTAAAGAAAAATATTGAAAAACAAAAAAAGTTGATAAATGGGACTTTTTGAATTCACTTCCGTTTGCGACCGGAAGTGCCGACGACGAAAAATAAAGGTCGTTGCCCATAATGGAGTTTGATGTTCTATCACCTCAGTGAGTTTCACTTTCATATCCTTAGCCGTTCTCGAGAAAACTGCTGGACAAAATGCCTTTTAAAAAAAACGAAAATCCCCAAAAATCGCGAACGGAAGTAAATTTTGAAAAAAAGAAAAACACGTCTGGAGATATTCTCATGATGCATCTTCCCTGAGAAAATCGTTGAAATTTGTCCACTCATAGCTGAGATATCGGCTGTACTATGAAAATAGAATAATAATGATAATAATAAAAAACAGAAGGAAAACAATAAGGTCTTCCGAAGGAAGTCGGAAGACCTTAATAATAAAAAACAGAGTAAAAACAATATGTTCCCCAACTTCGTTTGGGTAACATAATATATACATTTGCAAAATTCAGTGATTTGAATATTTCTTTTATTTCAGGTCTCCAGCCTGCTTCAGTAGATTTTTACTGATATTGCTGCAATTTATTCCTCTTTTCTAATTACGAATCAGAATTTGTATGAATAAAATAAGAAAAGTTTAATATACTTTTTTCCTTTTTTTTCAACCTTTTAGAAGTCCAGCATTTCTTCAATATGTGTTAAACATCGTTTTTAATTCATCTGCAATAGCTAAAAAAAAATTCAAGAGTTGCCTTGCATAAAGTGTTAAATTTTGTTAGTTTTCTTCTGAGTTTGTATGGCAGTCGTGGATGACTTAAGATACATGTAAGATATTCATGTATCATTTTTCCTTCATTAGATTGTTGAGAATTAATAAGGTCGTGTGTCATTAATCTGAGGGTATAACCGTCACGTACACATTGGTGCTTTTACTGTCAGATTCTGGTGTTGCGTGAAATTCATCATTAAACGTATGTACATCTGATGATGATGCTGTATCTATATTATTTGGCAGCACATAGGCGTTATCTTGATCACCTGCAATCAGGGGATTTATTTCAATTGTTTGATTTGATGCCATCCTTTGTGGTTTTTCTTCTTTGTCACAAATGTCCCTTGATGATAGAACATTTATAGAGTATGATTCTTTTCTACGATCGTACCAAATTGAAAGATTACCAACGCCCTGAAATAGCATTTGATACCCAAGAGTTTCGTACTCATTGGTATTTTGTTGTGCATCATTTCTGGCATGAGCTATAATAGCAGGAGAAACGTAATCATTCTTCTTAAATAGTGTCGTCTTCTTATTTAGAACACAATAAAGAATTAGTGGTAGTGCAACCACCAACATTACGGACGCTGCTGCAAACAAAATTGCTGTGAGCAGAAGATTGTCTAAGGATCTTGGTTTAGAGGTTACTGTTACTGATATGTTTGACAAGGGTAACACTGTGATATTAGTTATATGGTAGGAAAGAAATCCTATATATGGATCATGCTTTCCATCATTGACTAGTGTTGAGAACAAATTCTGACTTCCTGTATACCCTAGAAAAAAAATGCGTAAGAGAATAAAAACAAACTCAATTTTTGAAATTCCCATTTCTTTGAGATATATTTTATAAATATAGACAAATGTAGAAATAAATGTAGTGTGTAATACAATCGTTTTATGGACAATTATCGATTTTTTGTGGATGGTGATTTATTAAAAAAAAACGTGTTTCAAATACCTGTAAATCTGGTACACCCATAGGAAATATTACACGCTAACCTACTGCACTGGCACGTGTGTAGACATTTTTCTCCATAGTATGGGTAAGGGCATGCTTTTTCGCAACTGAATCCAAAATAACCATTTGGACATTCTGAAGTATAAAATTATATACTTTGGAAAAAAAAATAATAAGGATATCAAATTTTGAAAACATTCAAGAATCTTAATCTTACGTCTGTATAGGTATAAAAATAATTATCAGTTCACAAACTTATGCATTTTCTTTGGATCAAATCCCATTTATATCCTGAACAGCAACCGTTTCTTCTGAGAAAAGAAAATTAGAATTATTAGGGTATATCTTAAAAATTCAGGAACAAAAATTAGCCCTGACAAATTCTGATGATTTTCAACTTAGTTATTTTTACAAAAACAAAAAAAGGCGAAATATAGATTATACGAAATAAAATTTACACTTGGTTTAAAATAAACCACCCCTTTCTACAAAAGAGTATATACAAGGCACTGATACAGTGTATCACGGTAAATTCTGAAGTAACCCTAACAAAAAAATACCACAGTAAACTATAGTTAACTACAGTTTACTATAGTAAATCAAAGTTCCAAAGTTTTCATCAGAGTAAATCAAAGTTACAAAGTTTTCACCATAGTAAATAAAAGTTCCAAAGTTTTTACTATAGTAAATCAAAGTTCCAAAGTTTTCTTTAAAGTAAATCAAAGTTCCAATGTTTTCACAATAGTAAATCAAAGTTCCAAAGTTTTCACCATAGTAAATCAAAGTTCCAAAGTTTTTACTATAGTAAATCAAAGTTTCAAAGTTATCATCATAGTAAATCAAAGTTCCAAGGTTTTCACCATAGTAAATCAAAGTTCTAGAGTTATAACTTTGGTACTATAGTAAACTATAGTTAACTATAGTTTACTATAGTATTTTTTGTTAGGGAAGTGTGCAATGAGAAATGTTTTTGACAATCGAATTAACAGTGTTTTCAACTACAATAGTATGAAGGTAGATATTTTAAGGACCGTCATTTTAAAATCAAAGTCCCTGTTTTTTTTTTAATTCGTTCAACTGACAATAGACAACTGAAAGAAAAACAAAAGCAAATCTTACTTGTCACAAATTACTGCAAAGACACCATTGTTTATCATCACAAGTTGCGTTAAAAAGAAAAACGGATACTTAGAGGCCATGACAAATGTCATTTTATCCAGTTCAGATAGTTTTTATTGTTTCCTTATTTTATCATGTATTTTGACACATCCCTGTTTTAAGCATTATAATAGTATCCAGCAATAAGGGAATGGGAAACGAATATTAATTATTTCAACAAATAATTTCCTGTGTATTTCTGTAAATCAAAAATACATTTTCAATTCTAAGTGCTTACATGGTGATGTTTCCGAAAAAAAAAAAAAAACACGTCCTTGTTTTAAACTGGTACGTATTTGATAAAGAAAAAAATATATTTTAACTCAAACTTTGTTTATTATACAAAGTGGTGCCAGAATAATTCGGACGCTTCACTTTATGGACACTACTTTACGAAATCCGGATCAGTACGGACGATTTCTTAACAGAACGTGATATATCATTGAAAAATGATTCGTTTAAAAAAGACGGTATTTCTTTTTTTAGGAAACATTTCTTTTCAAGTTTCTTGCGGTAATTGTTGTAAAACATTTTCCTTGGAGTTGATTTTAAGATTTTTAACAATAAACTCCATACAATAGCACCATTAATTATTGTGCTTTTATTTCAAATTAATCGTAGACATAACGTATGCATTTATAAAGTACTAATCAATTCAGACTGGAATCAATTGCTTATGGACTAAATAATTATGAAAATTTTAGAAAGTTGTATATGAAATAAATACTAAAAAAAAAAAAAAACATGCATTGGGTTGTGTGATTTATCAAAATGCATATTTCAATATCTAAAAACTTAATATTATTGAAATTGTTTTTTTCTGTTTTTTTTTTTCCATAAGGCAATTCACAATGACACAAATATTCAAGAATATATATATTTTTTCTTTTTAAAGCACAAAGATACCATGAAAAATTATTGATTCTCTGAATGTTGCACTCATTCAGGTTGATTGATTGAAATTTGTAGACATGTACTGACTGCGGTGTTGAATGAAACGCCACTTAAAGATGACAATAAATAGATCGACCTTTTGGGGCTTGAATAAATAGAAAAAAATCTGCCGAAATAAAAGAATTGGAGATCATGGTTTGCTAAACCCAAGGCGAAAAGAATTCCCTGTGTTAAAAAAGTCGTACAATAAAATTGCATTTTCATTTTGCAGTATTAAATACATTATTTTTTTTTTTACAAAGATATTTTATATGTACATTTGCATATCAAGAGAATTATGTTATCAATTTGCTATTTCCTTAAATAGCTGAAACTAAAAAAAAAGCTAAATCCATCGAAGTAAAAAAAGGAATTTTTAAAAGACTCCCGAATTTTTACGGTTCAAATTTGAGGCAAGGGGTTTTTGAAAAGCCAGTTAGAATTTGGTTGGAGCCAAATTAGAGGCAAAAAAGAGTCCAAGCCGAGAGTGTCTCTCCCCCCCCCCCCCCCCCCCCCCATTAGCCAGGCCAAAGGGCTCGGGCTAGGTTTTATTGTATACCCTGTCGAACTAAAATACAACAATTAATTTTTGAAGTTATATAATCGAGTCCGTTTTAAAGTAAAGTTCAAACTCCCCTCTTTTATATTTGTTTTTCCCTGTGTCTTAAAGCCTGTGGAATATATGTACAAGCATGTTTTTGAGAAATCCATCATAATTGCTACTGTATATATTTTTTTATGATCAAAAGTATACTTCCAATCTTCAACAATCTTAGTAACATACTCTGACATCCAGGTTTATATCTGAAATATCAGCGGTTGATATCTAATTTAGTATGCCAAGACCTGTGTTAGATATGTTTCAGCTCATTATAAAATAAAACAAATTTAGAAGCTCCTCTTGGTTAACAATTTGCGGTCATTGGTTATTTTTTATTATGTTGTTTCTCGTTTCTTGTTTTTGTTTTTCGTTTAGAGTTTAATAAATGTACATGTATTCCATACTTCTTCATTCATTATAGTTACCATGGCCGCTGTGACCTAAATTATATCACTTGTTTCCATTTTTAGATCATATTGGTTTTTTTTAATGCTAAATATAGGTTACGTTTCTCTGAATACTGTAGACTCCATGACGTGTTTATATTTTTAGATATTCCGGTTTCATTTTCGGTGGCACCCATGACAGGTAGGTCTCAAGGGACGTACTTATTCGAATATAATGTTTGAAGTAGATGTTACTGAACATACATCTTAAACGTTTTAGAAAAGTTGCAAGAGAAAACGTTTATTAAATACAGTGTAAGAAACGAAAATAGAAATCATTTACAATCTTTCTAAAAAAGGAAAAAAATCCATTTTGTTAAACAATTTTTATTTTATGATTACTACTTTTCCTTAGAACAAGGTTTCTGTCATGAGAGAGAAAAAAATCAAAGATTTCATCTTCCATAAACAATTAAAAAGGATGAACAATTCAATTCCGAAATCTATATGAGTGAGGATGCAATTAGGAAAAGGTAATTGCTGATTAATTACCTTTGCTAGCCAAGAGTTTCGGATAGACTACTCTACTTATTAACTTTGACCTTTGGCGCTGTCAAATTTTAACAAAAGGGCTTGATTTAAAAATGCTGACAATAAAGACTTTAGATATAAATCTTGACAATGTTTAATGTTTCCCTTGCACTCAGCATCTGTTATCCATAAAAAATAATTAAAGGAACAAGTTTTTGATAGATAAAGGTATTTTAAATGAATCTCATTTTTAGGCTTTTGGACTGAATCTACTTCTCTTTTTTTGTTTCGAGGACAGGAAATACATAAATGCACTAAAGGATGATAATAATGATGTTGTTTCTGTACCATTCACCTTTAATTAATTAAATCAGAAGTAGAGCATTTCCCCTTCTTTACATGTTAATGTCATAAATAATTGTTCAATGTTTCCCATTACAAAAATAAATGAATAAATAAATCAATCAAAAATTTAAAAAATGTTGATTGTTCGAACTTTGTCAATCTATTTCAATAAGATCGTGGTTAAAAAATATTTAATCATAGGTCAAGGGTTTTTGAGGAAAATATTTTATCAGAAATTCTACAGGCTAGCAAAGATGCTAATTTATATGTTGTGGCAACTGTGTAACATTTTTTCTGGTTAATAGTTATAATATTCAGCATGTACAACATGCATGTTTCCTGTTTTGTGTGAAACTCAATTTCATAGACCTTTGCAATGCCTTCCACTCATATTTTTTCTTTTTTTTTTTTTTAGGTTTTTGTATCAAATTTTACATATTTTCTTCCATTGGATGCCTTTTATTATCAAAGGTAATGCATGAAAGTAATATCCATAAAATATGATTGTATATTGTATTTATAGTAATAATAATAATAATAAGGTATTTTCTGTTGAAAATATTCATCTTCTTTCAGATTTGTGCTGGACTTAACAAAACAGACTGCTCAGTAGTAGAAATGGTCAAAAAAGTAGAAACATGTCCAAGTAATAAATCGAAGTGGCTTCTGGAATCTGAGAGAAAGCAATGTTCAACTTCAAACGATGAATGTGAAAAGGTTTACCACTGCATGACAAATGCTTATAAAAATGAAACTTTCGACTTTTGTGCCACTAACGTTATTCTTCATGGTAAAAAAACAATTTTATTCCATGAATCTTTTTTCAATCCTTTTAATCGAAAAATGTCGAGAGAAACACAGCTAGATTGTATGGTTATTCTTAAACCTAAAATAAATTAGCTGGCGTTCATTATTATTATTATTATCATTATTGCATGCTTGTCTTTCACTTCATTTATATGACTGGTGTGTAAATTATACAGAGGTGTCCCGTAGGCATATTTCATGAAAAGTTTTACATGTAGCTCTATATGAAATTATGCTTACATGCACGCCTCATTTGAGTACTTTTTGAAAAATGTATATATTTGTATGTGTAAAATGTAGCCGAAAATTTTACTCCTTAACTACATTTGTATATAAATATAAAAAATATGATTCCTTATTATACATTTTCCCTCCAAAAATTAGAATGCAATCATGCCTGCTTTATGGTAAATAATGTCTTATTTTCAACACAATTGATTTATTTATTTTTGTTTTGTGTATAAATTCTATGTACTTTCATTTTCAGGACACTATTGTGGCGAATTTAATGAAGGTGGTGGGATTGTCCAAGAGAACTACAACAACTCTTGCCAAAATTTTAACCATCCATGTCCATTTCTCCACAACTCCTCCGAAGAATACAAATGTAATAAAGGAATTTTGAAATAATCACCAAAAACTCACAGAAATACGTTTTGTTAAAAAGATTGTTTTATCAAATATATTACTATTCATACATCAGTAGATATTAGTTATTATGCGTCTTTTGAAAACAAAAACTATATCATATTAGTTGTGTTGAAATGGTTTATCTCTCAATGCTTTTAATACTGAATTGTTCTCCTTATGAACAATCTATTTAACGAGGTCTTTTTAAGAAACAAGTTAATCAATCAAGAAAATCAGCAATCTCGTTTGAAATAATATTTTCTAAGTTGTATGTCGGACCTTGTCAGCAAATAATTAAATCATATCGTCAATTAATGACAGATTTTTTAGTACTGTTTATATTGATACTCTGAGATACAATGATATTTTTTTTTATGTTCGAAACAATACGTTGATTATAATTTTGCTATTTTGAACAAGAGAAATTTCATAATTAGTATACATGTATATCATTTTTTATTACCAGATCCAAATTGCTCGGAAACTGATAAGGGTACAGCAAAGACGCCTAATACGGATATTGAAAGCAGGTGTTTTATTTAATTTTCCTTCCCAAATGTACTATGAACTTAATTTTCTTAACATTGATGCTGTAATAAAGTATGGCTTATCTAGTTTAAAAAAAAAATAATGAATAGTCGATGTTCATATACATGTTTGCATTGATGACGCATTTACTATTTAAATATCTTGATTAATTTGAAGGGTTACTCCTTATCTGGCATTTGTATTAATTTTGGTGATTGCCTTGCCAGTTGGAGGTGCATGTCAATTTTATAAAAAAAGAAAAGAAGAAAACAAAGGTAATATAGATGTTAATAGAATTAATCTTGATAAATGAAGGTCTCATGATAAGTTTTTATGTATCTGACAATTAAATGAAGATAAATTTCTTTATCCTTGCTTTGTAGGCTTAAAAACATATGAGGAAGTGCAACAGTCGGATTTAGACAACAAAATATAATCTTTGTATAAAGATTTTCAGTTTTTTATGACTTGCAAGTGTTTATTGAAAAGCTTAAAACATTATATTTATACGCAGATTATATCGCATATATCATTCCCAAATCTTTCACAAAGTTCGGAACAGAAGTAGGGCGTTACTTTCTTAATATTTTGCAATGATATTACATTATCATCAGCTTTTTATCCTTGAGTGAAATTAATCTTATTTTGTCTACAGAGTCGTAAGTCTTAAACATCTCCGTTGGTATATAATTAGTACTTTAAGTTACTTTTTTATTAATATGCATCGCTTCATTTTAATGTGTAAACATGACACAAAATCAATCATTGATTTGCCATATGTATGTACGTTTCACACCTTTATAGGTATATATGGTTCACCAAAATGCAGTCTTTGTTATTTCTTTTTATATGTAACATATTTCAACAGATGCATGCCATGATTATATATAGTAATGTAGTTGGCGATATGAGTGTCTTCCGAAAGACACGCAACTTTCACCCCAAAATGCTAAGTGCCTGACGAAGGAAGGGTTGCACCTTTTTTCATGGACTCATGTCATTTGCGACCGAGATTAGAACTCATGGCCTTCTGGTAACTACCGACGAGCTACCGTAAAGGTCGCAAGGATAAGAAACTTTTCGTAAAGAATAGTTTCAGTAACATTAAGGTCAGATGACACGTTCCTCAAAAATATATAATTTTTCCTTAGAATTTCTCATTTAAGAAAAGGTACTCAAACAAGATTCCTCACAAAAAATAGGGAACCTTACTAGGCATTTGGACAAGATACAACAGGGTTACAATGTATATATCTTATATAACGCTTATGGTTAATCCTCTGAATGACCTATGTCAGAAAATTTTGCCTACTTATATTTAAAACATTTTAAAATAATGTAAAAAGCAGAGGAGAATAAAAAAAATATGAATAATTTATAATATTATACCAATTGGTATGAAACAGATATTTGAAGAACATGTCGTCTGACCTTAAATATAAAAAGGAGGAAAAAAGTTAACTGTTCAATATACAGTGGACCGTCAGATATCCGGACGCCAGATATCCGGATGCCTCAGTATCCGGACGATTTTTCATCGGAACGATATTTTCAAATGTTATTTTGTCTTGTTTAACTGGTGATTCAGATATCTGGATACTTCACATATCCGGACAATTTGACTGGGAACCAAAACGTCCGGATAAATGAGGGTCCATTGTAAATGTAACCAGGATTTTAGCAATAGGTTTTATACTATGTATAGGTTTTTTTTTTTGAAAACTCTACCAATAAATGAAGAACCTTGTTTGTTAATAAAATGGAACCTATGTGTGGATGTTTTTTTTTTAAATAATTGAAACCATTCGTTTGTTTATGGCAAATGTGACAAATAATAATTAAAAAATAACTAGATCAAAAACATTAAATCAAATGGACAAAGAGACAGTTTCAACTGATTTTTAAACAAATTTTAAAGTTTACAATTCCTTATAAAGGCAATTCGAAGGATCAACATAAATTTGAAAATCATTTGTTGATTTACAAACTGAAGAAGATACAGAACTTGAAATTATTAATGTAATCAAGGCTCCTGTCCTGTTTTTGTTTACATATAGAAAATATGATATTTATATATGAAAAAGAACAAGATTCAGTAAATCACTAGAAACTGTCTAAGGATATTTAGAATTAAGTTTCTTATTGATAATCTGCTCTGAACGAACATACATTTGGTATATTTAACTTATGTAAACAAAAACTTGACAAGGACTTTGTTTATCTAACAAAGGATTAGCGCTCTTAATCTGTCTCGTATCTCTGTGCAACTTAAATTCAAACTTTATAATCATGAAAAATAAGTATTTGCAAACATAAAATAATGGAAAAAATAATTTCAAAATTTTCAGCTGAAACTGTCCTTTTAAAATTGGAAATAGTTCAGTGTAACATTGAACATTTCCACCGAAAGAAAACTACAGTCAATCGAGATACTAAGCTGTATGCAACATTTATCATATTACACTTAATGGTTTATACAAATACATATTGCAGTGAAGCTTACACGCATACATTCTTTGCATTCAAAATATTGTTAAAATCTTCCACAATCAGATTTTTGACTGTTGCTTAGCTTGAAGGAGTGGTTTCATTATTCAACGGGTAAAAGTGTTTTCAACATATGTTTTCCAACGAACTAAATTGAACCAATTTACATGGAAGTACGTATAATAATTTACTTGGTTCCCTGGCTTATCCAAAGGAATCACTTGTATTTCTCAACGTCTTTGAACCTGAACCCTCTCTAGATATAAAGCTCTGCGTATTTTTTCTTTTAAGATTTCTGATACTAGTATCATTAAGGTAATATCTTTTTGTAATAAAACTTACACCAGTCACCTTTATTGCGAGGACATATCCCCAAAATAACACTACACCAACCATATTTCATAGCTTCATATCCTTAAAAAGTTTAATTTTTAATTTCAACTTCGATGTTTAAAGGGAGCTTCATTGATAAATGGTTCTATGTTACATGTAAATGAGTCGAACATTCTATGTATTTTGTCAATAAATATTTTCCAGATGCATACTTGTTATGCATCCCCCCTCCCAATAAGTCTATCCAAGAAGTGTTTTTTTTTTCTGTAGAAGAAAATCCCAAAGATAAAAAATCAATTATTATTTTTTATCTTCAAAATAGTAAATTATACCTGATGAAATTAAATTTGTTTGAATGTATGCTTCAAAGTTTTGCTTCGGGAATATCTCTTATGAAGCAAGGATTCAGATTTTTAACATACAGAAAAGTCAGCTCAAAAATACTTTTGTTTACATCCTGCGCTTAAGAGCCAGCCTGGAATATGCACGGAAAATACAAATGATTCTGTGTTTAAGCGAGGGAATGAAGGACCAGTTTCAAAATAAGGATATACCTGAGAGTACACCGCTGTATTTGGCAAAAAAAGTAAAACTATTTATAATCATTTTTTTTTTCAAACAATTAGTGGGTCAACTTTGTTGATTTAATGTTTCTAGTTTTACACCGACCGAAAGCATGTGTCTATCTGACCCCAAACTACAGTAAAGATTCACATTTCGTGACAATCAGCATGACAAATTATTATCATGTAATCATTTTTTTTATTATTATTTACTGATTATACACGACTTGCACAATTTCAATGGTAAAATTTCGTTAACACTATTCAAACCTTTTACGGCTACATGTACCTACAAGAGAGAAAATTACTTGTATTCAGTTTTGTCTTTATGTTTGCATACAGGTTGTGATTCGAATACGAAATTTTTAAACTATGTGGAGAAGCAATCCCTTGTCTATCGAAAGCTGCATATTTTGTCATATGCTCTGCATGACTGTCTTTATTTTTCCGAGGAGCTAATATCAGTCATGTTTTTTTCTTCATGCCAACACCTTCTGCGACACATAACTATAGTTTATACGGAAACATTTCAAGAACAGCTCTCCACGTCCCACAGTATGATTCGAACTCAATAGGTAAATGATAAACTCCTTATTTCACGACTCTGAAGAAGAGGACGCTCTAACCATTGCACCACAAGGGTGAACATATTGTTTTGTAGTGAATGACAAGTTAATTCTCAAGAAGGATATGGGGATACTAAACAGTATTCAGTCTCAAAGCAGTTCTAGGTTATGTTTCTTCGGGGTTATGCGACATAATACAGGTACGCATTTGGAAAATTCTTTTAACCGATCTCCGAAATATGATGACATCTCTACTTGAGTGAAACCTTGCCGAATTTGGTATAATATAACAATCAATGAATAAACATTTCACATCTATTTTCTAGATGAAACATAATTTCAAAATAAATGTATATATTACTGTTTTAAATTAAAATTAAATGAATGTCTTTATTTTTTTGAGGAGCTAATTTCCACAATGTTTTTTTTTTATTATTATTATTATTTTAACTAGATACTACAATGCATGGTCCTTTACATTTATGTACTTACCAGTTATCTAAAGAGTCTGCAAATTATCATGATTTGCTAAAGACGGAAATTGCCATAGAGTAAAACTTGAATAGAATATACGAAAAACAAACTTTAAGCGAAGATTTCGAAATCCCAGTTAACATCAATTTAACAAAAAAGTAGTATGACTAGCATTAAAAATTGATCGTTCTCATACGATTTTTTTACGTGTACATGTAAGCAGCGAAATGTTTTGCACAACAACTACTATTAGGCGGTTGTGTATTTTTTTCTCCAATGATCAGTGATCATGATGAAAAAGCTTAAGTCATTTCGTTTTTATACAACCTAGCTGAAGGTTATCCCAGTTATTTGACCTTCAAATTCATACGGTTTTCTATAATAATAGTGACGATGATTTCCCAGGTTTGTTAAAGAAAAAGCATTCTCTGTTTGGTTATATATACCTTTCATGTTTCGTGTCCTCTTTTGCAAATAAAAAGAAATATGATATTTAGTCACAATACATAAACCACACGAAGCTACCTGCTTATTATCTTCCTTGTCTCACCTGTGTGTACAAAAAATATTTAGAACAAATTAGTAGTACGTCGTTAGAGCAGAGGTGCATATTTGAGACGATATTTATTTATTCTTTTCTTTCACTAAACTTAAAAAAAAACATTGAAAAGAAGATGTTGAATGATACGGAAAAAAATGTTTAAATAAGCTTTTTTTTTATAAGATCCTTATTTTTTCAAGGAATTAATTTGATAGCCCTTCCGATTTTTACGGTATCAATTGGCTGAAACTATGAAGGATTTTAAATTCCATGATTAAAACGCCCTACGTAAAGTCGTTCCTGCTGGGTCAGTTTGAGGATCCTGAAGATACCAATTGAATGTACATGCAGAAATGGACAGGTGAAATTGGCTTTTTTTGATAAAGAGGTCAAAAAGTAGCTATTTTTATGAATAATTTCTACAGGTGCAATTTATGACAGCCTCTTCATGACAAGTATGAGTTTTATTTACAAAAATAAAGAACAAATATATGTTAAACTGAAAAGTAATATAAAATATTTATTTATCCATAATATAATTCAAGCTGTGTGTTTCTGCTTAGAGAAATGGTAAACAATCATAATTATAAAATCTTAGATATTTTCCTTTTTTTCTTGAAGCATATTATTTATATTAATAGCAATATTTGATGCCTATTCAGTTCATTATGTCCCTTTATATCGACCCTCTCTCTCTCTCTCGCTCAGTTTTTATTCCGTGCATATTCTTGATAAATATATAGAGATTTTTTTATATCCATAGATGTTTATGTATCTTTCTTGCAAGAAAAAAATATATATACATGTATATTTTCGTGTACAGTAAAATTCCACTTTTATATTACATGTACCTGTATATGAATCATTTTAAATAATCCTTTTTTTCAAGGTTGAATGAACTTATTTGGAAAATACCACGGATTTTAAAATATATAGAATTTTTGTAGTTGTGAACCCTTTTCATATGCATCCAGGTAGCATTCTACATTGTATTATATATATATTCACCGAAGGTAGGTGAACTTATATATATATATATACTTTGTCTTGATAAAAAAACATGCAATGATTTATCTTTAATTAAAAGTTTATAACAATAATTACATTTTGCATCCCACAAATAAAACTTAGTTTATAAATAGTCTTACATGTACGTATAAATTTAAGTGGATTAAAGAATCTAAACTCTTAATATTTTTGGTTTCCGAAAGTTCCGAAAATTACTATTTAAAAAATTTATTAATGATAAAATTATTTACTTTTATTCCTTGAACTTTATACCATATCGAGTTAGAGAGGATTCAGTAATGTTGTAGTGCGTGTTTGCTCGTGGGTGTGTGATCATTATCAGATGTGCAAATCAAAAGAAACGTAATTGCATCGGGATAATGTCGATTGCTTTCTTGATTTATTTATGTTCTTGAAGGTATGAAAATTTCTGCTTTTGGTGACTTACAGAATTTATGCGCAATACATAGCAGAGACAGTGCAATAGACAAAAAAAAAAATAACGTTTTCGATGAAAAAAAATATAATAAATCTACCTCATTCTCCTTTAAAAGTTGTGTATTTATTAAAATCATTGAAGATAGTGAATTCACTATGAACAGTGCAGTAAATACCCCTTTCCTATTCAAGTAAAGCTCAAATGTATATACTCACAATCCTTACTTTACAAGATAAGTTTTTAACTCAATAAATTTATCACATTAATGTCATTGATAAAATCCAAAATATTATTTTCTTTTGGTTTTTAGTAGAAAATTAATAATATAATTCAGGCAAAAACGTAATAAATGGTGATTAATTATTTTAAGCTAATTTAGACATTTTTCACTCATACATGCTTAATCTCGTCATATACAGGATTGGACTGCTTAAAATTAAAGTTTTCCTCGGCACTGAGGAATTGATTGATTGATTGTATATTGTTTAACGTCTCTCTTGAGAATATTTCACTCATGTAGAGACGTCACCGTATGCCGGTAAAGGGCTTCAAATTTTGACCTATACTCGGCACTCAGTGAGGGTTCTTTATCGTGCCAGCGCCAACCGTGACAGGGGAGCTACGTTTAAGGTCCTATCCGAAAGACCCATGACTTTCTCTTCTAGTGCCGAGTGCTTAGCGAAGGAACCGTCACTACCTTTGTTTACGTCTTAGGTATGACTTAACTTGATTATTTCTCCAAGCATGGTGGTGTGCCTAGAACATTTGATATTGAGTCGCAGAGATAGAAGTTAATCCATAGGTCGCGGGTTCGAATCCTCTGCAGAACGTATGACTATCTTTTGATTGAGTCCTATGAACCGAATTGCTGCGTGTCCCTCACTGCTCAATTGGCTTTCGTGACGAATATATTTATACCTTTGCAGTCCTGTACCAGTAAGTGCTGACTTCTCCATGTTAAAATAAAATAATCTCACCATAGACTTTTAACAGCTAAAAAACAAAGAAAAGTTTATGTGGTTAACAATTTCTTTATCATCATTATTTGTTTTTTTGCAGGGTTTGCAAATGCGTATAACGTGACCCCTTTAAAGATGAAGTCAGGCTACAGGTTTCTTTTTTTATTATTATTGTACTGTCACATGTGCAAGACAAACATCTAAAATTGGTTGAATCAAAATCGTTGAGAATACAAAAAACATCTACACAGGTAAGTATCTGAGTAATATTTGCATTCTTATAATTTTCACTCAATTGAATGAAAAATATTTTATTGCATATTCAAATATCATCCGGCAACTATAACATTATGCTACTTTTAGGAAAATGTTTGCAAGAATACAGTGAAAACGGTCAATCCTGTAAATATATGTCCACCGAATGAAGAGTCAATGCAAGAAAGGGCAAGATATTTAAATTGTAAAGATATTCGTGATTCGTGTTCAACTGAAGAATTGGTGTTTCACTGCGTGCCTTCTGCTGACAAAATTGTGGAAGTTTGTGCTCCGAGATATTATGTTGATGGTATTTTTAACCCTCATTTTCCTTTTTGCAATATTTTGATTCATAATGTCAACTCATGCAATTGAAATTATATTCTTGATCTCCAAAGTATTTCATGCCCAGTAAATGTTGATACATGTCACAATCCTGATATAAAGTAAGAAAACAATGACTGTAAAATTATTTAATGTGAGCCTTGCAAATCAATAAATGTTTGTTTGTAGAAAAATACTGCGTCCAGTTTGACGAACAAATAGGGCGCGTTGTTGTAGACTATAGAGTTCCTTGTCAAGAATGTCCATTCCAGCATTACTCAAACGACTCTGCAAAATGTAAGTATCTTTTTTACAGTGACTCTGCTTAACAACAAAACAAAATCGGCTTCAACAGTAAAGGTTCAGTTTAAATATACAGTGATAATTAGATAAAAATTGATTTACAATTTAAAGAACATGCATAACAACTTCCTTTTTTGTAGATACTTCCTGTAACAAGCGAATACAGGCATTGTCTAATGTTCAAAGTATGATTTCTACTGATGTACCCTCTTCAAAATCCACGGGTCTAGTACAGTCAACACCTGAGTCAAACATAGGCCTTGGGTAAAGCTACATATTTCTGTAATGTAAAGCAATATATAATTTGAAATTGGTCTGGAGCATGACATTTCGTGCTTCAGAAAGGAAAGCAAAAATTGAACGACTTTGTCAAAAAAAAAAATTGCAACCAGTTCATTAAATGACCATGGATACACTGCTTATACATGTATTTTTTTTCTGTAAAACTATATCACCTACCAAACAAAAAAGTTTAGAAATACACAAAAATATCTGTATATCTGTAAAGGAAGTTTTGTTTCATTTTAGCTGAAGGCTCATCAGATTAAATCTGCTGTTTTCTTTGTGGTCAGCGTTATTGTGGTTCAAAACATTTGAAAATACTCCACCTTTTCACCCAAACAGAAACACACATGTACTTTTAACAAACAATCGTGTTGAAAATGACTGTCGCCGATAGACAAAAAACCTACTTGATGCATATATCGTTTCTAGAATAAGAATCGTGTAACAGAATAGTGGAACCAAGTTCAACTGTAGCTTTGGATTTTCTCTGAAAATGTTTATGACCGTGATATTGAGAGTGAATACTCTATATTATCCAGTGTTAAATATAATGCTATTATCAGACTTGTTTCCTATTGGTAATTGCATGCTCTAAAAGAAACGCCTTAACATTGAATTCATTGATTTTTCTTTTTATTAACCTGTGGTTCCATTATTCTTTGTAAAACTCATCTCGTCGCAAACAACCTTTCCTGGTTACAAGAATTAAACAAATTAATATTTAACTCACCAACATTTATAATAGCTCATATCTTATCCCGTGTTTTCTAATCTCTTCAGGTTGCCTTTTCACAACTTAAATGTAATATGATGCTGCATAACTCGAGTTTCTATATCTGTCTAGCATGTATCGGATACTTGCAATTTGTATTTTCTGATTATATAGATTTTTAAAAAAGAATTATATTTAATGACCTATATTTCTTTACTGCACATGCATGTACTTCATTTTTGAACAAACGGTTATTATTTAGATAATTATTTATTTTATAGTTCATCGGGATTCGGCGTACTTATGGTTTGTGTTACACTTTTCATCGTGCTTGGTGTTATTTGTATTTCGGTTGCTGTTGGATTAAACGTTGGTAAAGGTGTGTTCTGGGATTTAGAGAACTTAACACCAAAACATTACATTCAAATTAATCACTGATCATATTCCGTTGAATGCTCCTTTTTTCCCTTTGAGGATTTGGTGAAACTGTCGAAATGTCCATGAGAAATGGATATCTGGATCCTCACAAAGGAACCATGAGTTACCACGCTTTGAAGTAATTTTACAAGTGGTCAATAGTTCAATGGTTTAAAAAAATCTTTTCCTTGTGTCTTGTGAAGAAAAGAAATGGAAAATGAAATGGCAAATCATTTTATGAAGATATTTTGAAGTGTTTTGTTCATGTATGTAAATTACCTGATATTATATCCAGGGTCCATCATTTCAAATTAACTATGGTACAATGATAATTAATAATAAATACAGATGCATGTAATATTCGCAGCCATTTTGCGACCAAACTCGACTCCGACATAAATTGTAAAATACACCACACACATGTTTAATATTGATTTCAAATACTAATAGCATGATTTTTTTGGCAAAATGATTGATTAATTAAATCATAATAATAATAAATTGAAAGCAAATTTGACCTAGTGTAAATTAAAAACTGAAATATTTCCTAAATATATATATCCTGTAAAAAAAAAAAAACTCTCTACAATTCTTAAACGTACTATATAAAATATTTAATTATAGAATCTGAATAAAATGACATAAATAACACGCATTTAGAATATAAGATCAGACAAGACGTTCCTCAAAATCTTTTTTGTATATTTTCGTAATGAATAGAAATGTTCCAAATTTTGATAACATTCCTATTTCTAAACCAGTTTCTAAACGTTTTTTAAAAAATCAAAACACTTCAGCATTTGAAATTGGAAAATTATTTTTCTTCCTTAAAGGGTTATAAAAGAAAAAATTACCTCCAGTATCTTGCAGAAATGCCTGGTAAGGTACCTCAATTTTTGTGAATAAACATGTTTAAGTAGCAATACTTCAATTACAAACTCTTAGAAAGATGTATCTATTATTAAGGAACGTCTCGTCTGTCCTTAATCATAATTTGAACAAAGAAATTGTTTATAAAAAATAAATATTAACAAACGGTGTTTATTAAAGGGCAGAGGAAATTCTTAAAGATCACATAAGAGACATACAATTTTTGTACAATGTACAATGTTAGAGACATTTTTTAGTTTAGAACTTTTTCAGAATGAGCTGAATGATAATCAAAATCTCTTTAATAATTATCTTGAAGTGTGAAAAGTTTTCAAGTATCCAATTAGATTCAATTAACAGTTTACCGTTTAAAATTAAAAAAAATACAATTCCGAAGTCAAACAGTTAAATTGATGAACGAATGTATATATTTACCCTACTGACGACGACGAGCTTACTGTGGAACTTATATTTTAACTGCATCAATAACAAACATTCATTCTCATAAACTGACATTAAGTACAGTGCTGAGAAAAGCGGAACTGTGGCGTGGCGGAACCGGACCTTGAACGGCCTATGCAAGGAGAACCAAATCTACTGGTTAAGAAATTATATTCTTAATTAAATATCTTTGTTTCTTCATTTTTCATTGTTTTAATTTTGAAGATTCTTCATCTTTATGCCACCTTGACTTCTGAATCAAGCTTAAGCTTCATTGTTTTCCTTCATACTTTTTATTAAAAGGCTTCTTTTTTTCAAGTTTTAGGACCCATCATATGCATGTATAGATTGACTTGCTTATTTTTCTTTGGTAACTTTAAGGTAAGTTTTTATAAATATCAGCATTTACTATTTTTTCGTGTTTTTGCTAAATTGAATGAGATTTGTTTTTAGATTGTGTTGTATTTTAGATACATAATAGTTGGCAAAAACAATACGGTATACAGGGCTAAAGAGAACGGAAAGTAGCTCTTCCCATGATATGCTCGTTCTGTGTTGCTAATACAGAACAGTAAACCTCAAAGAAAAACACGACAATCGTGTCACAATAGGAATACAGGAACATGCCATGTCTTTTGTGAAGATAAAGGCTCCATATTTACGACTAAAGCATAGCATGTATACTTTATGAACATATATATGTACTTCCTACTTGGTGAAAAAAGATCTCTCTTTAGCAGATTCAAGGTACAGGAAACGAAACCAAGCTTATATGGTAAACTGACGACTTTAACTTCCCTATCGTCAACTTCCCTTAGTTATGCAGCGATAAAACCTTTATCACCTACATACGGATTGAATATATCTCAGTTAATTCGACACTCAAGAGCAGGCTCTACGCATGACCAATTTCTAAAACGAGGTAAATTATTCACAAGCAAGTTTATGAACGTTCTGTGTAGTACATGGAGGTGCTGGAAGATGCAGTGCTTCTTTACAGTGATGTATTGTAATGCACTGTGTTGTACAAAGGCAAGTACAGTCTATCAGAGATTTTCAGAGAATTATTAGAATATCAGGGAATTTCAAGTTTACAATTTGTGGAAAATTCAGAAAGGAGACCTCGCCAATTACCAGGCATGGGTAGTTGAGTAGTTTAACCTGTACACTGAATTGCCATATTCTTTAATTTCTCACGCATTGATACCATTAAGTCCTATCAAGAAAAAAAAACAATTAAAAAAATACGAGCCTATTGCTAATAAAGCAAAAATGTTGCTAAAACAGTTTCAATGACACAAGGACGTTAGTTTGACGAAAAGATATGTTATTTCCGCTAACAAAATCACTGTATTGGAGATATGATTGCAATATGTTGACATGCTTGTTAAGATCCGTGCCTCTCCTTTTGAATACTTTGCTGCTTTGATAAAAAGAAGACAATTAAACATTAGTGAATGTATGCTAATTATTTATATTTATTGTTAATTTTTTGGTAATTTCAAATTAAGATAAACTTTTATGCAATTGAAAAAAAAGATATACCTATTATTACGTAGTTACATAGTATTCGGTTTTGTTTTCGGTGTCATTACGATATACAATAACAATTTGTCATGAAATAATTTCATGAATCAACTCTTTTTATAAAGCTTTTGTGTTATTCATTGACAACCTTTCGGTTATAGTTCCGTTACATGTAATGGGGTTTTCCATTTATCTATAACTTTTTCCAAGGATTGTAAGGTACTTTCGTTTCGTGCTGATTGCACACAGTATTTAATTTGTGTCAGAACAAGATACCAGTAACCGTGAGTACTCATGATTTTTTTTTGTTGTGTATTAAACAACAATTATTTGAAAAGACAAGTTGATGTGATCATAGATATGAAGTGTTTTAAATACTTTGAATATTTTCGTTTTAATACGCTGACAATACATACTTCCTTTTAATTAGTTTTTTTCAATTTTGCCATTTTATTAGTTAATGGATATTCATAGATTACCTCAAATAATCAATGAAATAAAGTACATAAATAGACAGGGGAAATACATGTGTCTTCTACATCAGAGTATTATTTGATGATTATTCTTTCATGACACCTGGTCCCACCTCTAATAATAGATAGACAATAATCCCTTTTACTCTCTCCTTTATTGCTCTTTATTACCATAAGTCATACAGTCAGTTAAGCGACGATATCGAATTTAATAAACACTCAAATTAAAAAAATAAAGTCATGACAAGGGAAAAGAATCAAAGATAAGTTATATGTAGCAATATGTGTCTTTATTATAATAGAAAAACGATCAGATGGAGGAATGGTTATGTACTGGAGAATAATAGTCTAGAGAACAATGGTATGCATATGAATCAAACTCTGTGACCAGAAGAGCTCGTGTCCGAAACAAAGAACTAGGTGTTGAGAGAGTGTATGACAACAGTGGAGATAAAATTGCAGTGATTCCTGGGACTTTTATGCATGGTATAAAATAAGGTTAAAAGTGAGTAAGGTTACATATGTTAACTTTAATTATAGGGGAATCATAAGATTGCTTTTATTTTTTTTCGAGGAGGATCAGAAGCTTGGACATGTGATACAAAGCATAAAAATAGAAGAAAAAACTTCCCGATATTTCTTTCGTGGAAACAAAAATAAAAATCGGAAATGATGATATGAAACTAGAAGTGAGTGGATACAGGATGTTACAGTCATTTCTGAAAATCGTTGAATACACTATCCTATATTTTCGATAGCGTTAAAAAAATCCCGATTTTTCTTTCGTGGAGATAAATAATAAAAATAGATTTTCTGATTTTTTTCCCCAGAAATTAATTCGAATTTGCTTTTTGAAAGTGGTGTATCAAAAACACTTCAAAACAAAGTGGAAAAGAGTAATTTTGAGGAAGGTTTAAAAAATATCCCTTTTTATAGAATTGCTTTTTTGTATCTACTTTATTTTTTTTTTTTCAACTTCTTTCCCAAATATCTTTCCTACCCTATTTGTTTCTGAGAATATTTAACTTTTTCCCACTCTAATGGTTTAATACTGTTCGATTTTGTAATCTCTGCCGTCTGATTATTGGAATGAAAGTTAGAATTATCGGACGACAAATTAAATTTTAATCAGTAAGAAGAAAGGCATGACTTCACTGCAATGGTTAGCTAATGGATACGAGGCCGCGTGTCAGAGGAAAGTCAAGTGGCAAAACCGACAGTACAATGTAATACCGTTCAAAAAGGCATGTTGAATGCACGTGACCTTAATTATAAGCCAGTGGATGCGTTAAAAATTGGTTGTTTCCGTGAGTTATAATATAGTGAAAATATGAACGACTGATTTTGAAACTATTTTTTCATCGGGACTGGCCGCTGACTAAGGATGACCGTAACAGCAGATGCGACTGTGCACAGTAGTAGAATTTTCATTAATTTATATTTTGATTTTTTTATCGATAATTACAGGATAATTGATATCGGCTGACCTCTGATGATGGCGCACCCTGGGGTTCCAAAAGACGCCAGAAACATCACGTTATTGACGTTGATGTCAGGTTACAGCCTTATCTTCATTATTAGTCTGTTAACCAATCAGATAGTGTCCGTGAAATCGAAAAGTCCGAGAATTCAAAAAAGATTTACGCCAGTAAGTGCTGAATAACAGTACAAGGGACTAATATAGTTTAAACACATAAAGAAAAAACATTTAAGGACTTGATTAGCATGATAAGCACAAAAACAGTGTTCATTTAACGATTAATTGACAAGAAAAAAGACAAATCGTATCACCATATAAAGTATATTCTATTGTTGCAAATTTTCTTCTTTCATTATAGGACGATGTTTGTACGGAAACATTTAAAACTATTAATCCTGTCAATGAGTGTCCAACAGATGAGGAATCTATTAAAAGAAGGTCTAGTGAATTTAATTGCAAAGATGTTCGTGATTCTTGTACCAGTGAAGATTTGGTTTATCACTGCGTACATTCAGGCAGAAAAATCTTGGAAGTTTGCTCCCCAAGACATTATGTTACAGGTATTTGTCCTAATCTTCACTATCTGTTCTTTGAATTTTTAATGGTGAATTGAGTTGTATGCGTACTGCATTTTAAAGACTTGGCTTAGTGCTTTACTTTCTCAGTTTAAAATTTATTTTAAGATAACGAAAAAATACAAAATCTAACTTTGTACCGGTCGTCTTTTAAGTGACTGCAGCTCTATTATTTATTTTTGCAATCAACAGAATTTCAAAATTTTTGTACTACAGCATTAAAGAGAATAATGTTCACTGTTCAGTTTCTTTGTGTGTCAAGTTGTATAGCATTTTTTTAAATATGAAAGGAGTAGCGTTTTAAAAGATTTTTTTCTGAACTTGCTTTTGACTGAAATTTGCAAAACTAGTTATCATAAATGTATACCGTCGTGAAATATATCTTTTTTAAAACCTTATTTAATTGAAATCAGACCAAAACTCTAGCTGGAGTAAAATATTGAAATAATGACACAGAATTTTTCATTATTTTGTAATTTTGAACCATTCTTTTCATCAAAATCAAACATACTAAATTCTTTATCTTAGCATATTCAATCAATTTAGATTGCTTTAAAACATTGAGCTTAAACTGTAAACACTTATATAATCATATCATATAAACTTTTAAAGAGGCTAATCGGAGCCTCCAAACTCTTATTATAAATAACATGCACGAAAACTAAGTAGTTAACAATCACTGTACTGTACTGTAAAATTAAACTACTTTTGTGTTAGGTAATTCTCTTCTGTCAGGTGAGAAATTTGCCTTTAAATATATATAGTTTCTATAGAAATATTGAAAAACCTGAAGAATATTATTTAGGTTTTTAAAAAAAAATTCATTGTCTTAGAGTATACTAAGAAGAATGCAAAGAGCTACATATCCATTTGTATAATTTGTTTGTATACAGGTAAATACTGTGTCCAGTTTGACAACGGAGTTGGGCGAGTAATAGAAGATTTTAGTGTTCCTTGTCCAGAGTGTCCGTTCCAACATTACTCAAACGAATCCATTACCTGTAAACAATTTAACAATTTCCACGTCAATTTATATAGCGACCCTCATATTAGAGAAACACCGACATCTTACGAACGAACGTAACCAAAAACGGGGACCAGTCATTGTAGTCTATTGTATTCACGGTTGGATTATTGAATTCTTCAATGTTATTGGGATTTCGATAGATAAAATCCCCACAAGATACCTCAAAGCCACATCTTGTCGTAGTCTCTACCGTGACGCTACAATACAATTCAATGGACATTCAAACGAGCAAAGGGGTTCTAGAAGGGAAATAAAAGGAACATTTTAAAATATGTCATTCTGTGGCATGAAATAAAAAAATAATAGTATGCACGGATCTAGTAGGGATCGAAAAGGGGAAGGGATACTTTGTCGGGACAAAATGGAGTTATGGTCCAAAATTAAATTGCAAAAACCCGGAAACTTTAAAGAAATTCTTGCTCAAAATACTATATGCTGCGAAAAATAAAATTAATATGGCTTCAATACACAGGTATTATAGCCATATCATTAATCCAGGGGGATTCCCGTTCGTAATTTGTAGGTTGATAAAGCTTCTTCTTACAAACATGTATATTAAAATCTTCATATTATTCTCATGGGTGCTAGTCGACTGGACCTCACCCCCCCCCCCCCCCCCAATTTAACATCCCAGACCCATAGCTATTTTTTAATTTAACTGTAAAAGCTCAAAGGCTTATCGAGATATTAATCTAAACAAAAGTGTAACAGACGGACAGAATTATTAAACGAACGGGCAGACCGAAATTAATATTTCCAACTTTCGGAGGGGGGGGGGTTCAGCGCAAAAATGGAAGTTTAGTGAATTGTGTTTTTGACATAATTTAAGTTTAATGAGAGCAAGTTCCATATTAGCATGCTATCATGGGACCTATGCCCCCCTCCCCCAGCCCCTGGAGTATATATAAATCCGAGATGAATATCTTGGGACCCAGTATGTATATTTGGGTGGGGGTTGGGAAGTTGTTTGGTCTACAAGCATATGTGCACACACTTTTGAAGGATGCCATATGACAACTAAATGACAGCTACGTTTTTATATTATTCAAGCTTTTAAAAGTCCGCTATAGTGACTCTAAACTTTTGGTAGTGCCCCCCCCAACTAAAATTGCTTGCTTCTGACATATATAAAATAAAAGCAGCCTAAGATAATTTAGTTAAGATCACCATTTAGTACATCATCTAAGAAAATACTGTCTACCATGAATGCTCGTTTATTTCTTTGAAATGATATTTCAATAAATTTAAAAAAAAAGAATCTCTCTCTCTCTCTCTCTCTCTCTCTCAATACAACACACTTTATAAAGCGCACTACCTATTTACCTGATTGCACGGATTTTTTTTCAAGTTGTAAAAAGTAACCTTTCCCCATAGGAACAAGGCGCACACTACGAGTAGTTTGTATACGTTTAATCACTGACGCATGACAAACGTGTTTCCTAATCCGTCTAAAGTATTATGGTGTATTTTCTTCCATTTGTTTAATTGCTTTTTTAAAACATTGTAAGTGATTACAAAAAAAATTGACACGAACAATTTTCAAATACAAAGTGGTTAAAACACTATCCGTTCTATTTTACACATATACTTATTTTTTTCCGATTTTAAACTTTATATGGGTACAATCACTGGTCTCGAGAAAACTATCGAGATACGGAAAGTTAGGGAGAGTAACTTTCGTTCGTAAGATGTCGGTGTTTCTCTATCATGAGATAAATACACGTTATAATAATTCTTCTTCTTATTATTATTTTTAGAAAAAAAGACATATATGCATAAACAAAATAAGAATGAAATGCAACGTCGTTCTATTAACATGAAAGAAATTTTTATTAATTTTAATTATTTTATGGCAGATGCAACATGTCTGAAAAAAATACAGTCGTTGACTGTTGTTCAAAGCACCGTGATGTCAACCGATGTATCCACAACAAGCTTTATAGCTTCAACGTCAACACCGGATACAACGAATTTGATCGGCAATAAGAATTGCACGTCCTCTAAAAGACGTAGTAAAAGAAACGCTGATTGCAACCAGTGTTGCCATAATGTACCTTTTAGCACGTAAGAATATATCGAATATATGAATTCAAATAAGTTGATTGTAAATGGAGATAATAAGGAGAGGTTTGTTAATTTTTTTTTTAGTTCAAATTTCAACAGTGAAAGTTAAACATAAATCGAATGTTTTGTTAATACTAACTTTACTTTTCTGCGAAACTCCCACTTTAAATGGCACCTATGTTACAACGCAGAATGTAATAAATCTGGATTATTACATTTTGCGTCGATATCAACGCAAAATGTAATAAGACAATTTTTAGATTATTACATTGTGCGTTATACATTTTGCGTTGTCTTCAGAAATCAATATGTAATTAAACAAATTACACTATTTTTTTTTATCTTGTTTACCAAAAAAGATCATGAAATTCATTCAAATATATACATGTAACCAACGTGGGGAAAACGTTGTAAAAATATATAGAACTAAAACAATGAGACCAACGTTAGGGCTTTTTTCGGACATAAATATACATTAAAAGTATCGTTTTTCTAACTCTGATTTTATTATTTTGAATACACTGTACTTAATTATACATAATTAATTTAACTTTGATTGGCATACTTTTGTGAGTCTTATTAAAGAAGAAGGTATGGTTTCCATACAAATTTTGCCCTGTGATTTTCTAAAAAATGAAACTGGTGTTAAAGTTAAAAACTCATGCTTTTTAAATAATTGAAATTCAAAGCAGAAAAATCATACAAGTCATTTTTCTCACATGTGTTTTTAAATGCTAATTCTGACGTCATAAACATACGCATTTTCCCGTATTTTCTTAAAAAGTTGCAGAAGACACCAATTTTTAATGGAATTTTCTTTCAGATAACATTGTCCACAGGCATCGCCCACAAAGATCTTGAGATATGTGATTTGTTATTGAATTTTGCACAAAATATCAAAAAATTAACGTGGGCGACGGCTGTGGACACTGTTTTTTAAAGGAAAATCACCCTTGAAATGTGCCATTTTGAGGCTTTTTCTGTTGAAAATAGAGAAATGCTTCACATTTATGACGTCATATTTGCAGAATGGCAAACCTTTATGCCATATTCTTTCCTCATTTATCAGAGTCATTTATTTAACTAATATTTAAGCCAGTTTCAAAACTTTTTGATGTCGTTACATTTTTAGGGCGCAATAAAGCTAAAACCATACCTTCTTCTTTCTAACCATTAAAACATATTTGATTAACAAAGATTGACCATAGGTTCATTAAAAGGTCTTGATATGCATTTTCGGCACTTATACATTGGTTAACAAATTTATAAAAGTGTATGTGTGTGTCAAACGAGGAGGGGATGCGATAGGGCGAGATGTTTACTTCGTATATGTATAATTGTATTACTGTGGACATGCAGAAACAATCCGTTTTATTATAAGATAGAAAGAAAGAAAGGGAGATAATTTAGATTTCGCTTGTATGTAATGCTGGAGATTTGCATGGAACAGTATGGTATCATCATTGTCAATAAACCCCTTCCCGCTATACATTTACACCCGCTCGTTCGAATGACTTTTTTTTTTAGATTCATTGCATCTGTCTATTAAAAAAACAAAAACACACTGGTCTACACCCCCAACAACCCTGCCCACAGATGCATATTTCTTGTTTGCAACACCTATAATATGAATATCTTTATTAAACTGATGTTAAATACATGTAGCTAATTAAATTAATATATTATAAAAATTATTTATGACCGATTAGCTAGGGAGTGTCCACACAGTGACTCGAACCTACTACCCTCAGATTTAAAATCCAACGCTCTACTGACTGAGCTAAAGGGTTAACCCGCTAGCTTAAGCTCACTATTTACAACACATATGTAGCCACATTTAAGACATTAAAAAGGTATTTTAAAAACCTTAGTCTAGAAAAAACTCAGAAAAGTGAAGTGGTCCATGGACATGCTGTTTTGCATAACATTGACGAACAAAGTAGATTCACAATAAAGTATTTTCAATTAGCTGATTTCTTTACCTTTGTGTTCACCGTTAAAATAAATTTTCATATTTTTTGGTTTTACTAGACATAAGGGTTCTTCAAAGTTTTGTGCTTCAAAATGGGTGTTATTCAAATTGTTGTGCTTTTTTTCCTCTCGCCAAGGCGTATTAAATACCAAATATTCCTAAATAAAAATTATTTCGAACCACAATGCATGGAAGACCTTATATTTCCAGTCAAAATATTGTATGAAATATAACTTTTTCTTTATTTCACAGTTCCTCGGGTCATATCTTTGGCATTTCCGTTCCTGTCGTTTTTGTTGTTTTTGGTATTTGTTCAGCCCTGCTTTAATTACGTTAAAAAGGTATGTATTACTCCAAATCATAATGACGGGGGACAAGGAATTTAATACATTGTTATAAGATTTAATGAATAAGACTGAATACTGCTCTTTTAGGACATTCTGAACCTGAAAAAGAAGAAAATGAAGAAAAACTAAAGTAAGAGTTCACACACCGTGAGCAAGTTGTCTAAATCTACATACTACTCTATTGCTTAAGAAAATCTATTATACCCTTTTTATTAAGCAGTTTTTAAAAAAAATCTTAAATAAATTTCATTTTCATTTGAGTTTTCAATATGAAAACGCATAAACATTCAATCTCTTGAAGAATATGCATGACAAATTAACAAAAGCCTTCAGAGTGTAACATTTGTAACGATAAAGTTTTTTACACTATTTTAGTGGCTTGCCAGATGTGTAATGGTTATTTCACACTTTCAACAGACTGAATGAGTTTGTCGAAAAATCTCAGAAGACAGCCAATGGTCTTTTTTTAGTTCGGAGAAAACTATTACTATGTTCGATTTATTTGAAATGATTTCTGGCTCTCAACAGGACACATAAATGAAATAAAATGAAGTGCAATGTTTCTGATGTACTGTGAGAATCGTAAGGGATGGTACAAGTACAAGTACCTATATTATAAACAGTGTGGAGACGTATTTTTTTTAAGTTATATTCATATGGTATTTCAATTTGTTTTATTCTTATTTATAGATTATACTTTTATCGTTCAAGGTACCATGTACTAAAAAGCCCATTTTATTTATTTTATTATCATCATTTTAATAATCTTATTACAATCATTATATGTCTCATTTGATTTTGGTTATACAATTATTTTCAATTGAATGTTTAATACTAACGCGTATCAAGCATCACTACGATTATAATAAAAATATATAATAGAGTAAATAATACCAATCAACAACACAAGTAATCTTACATTTTTGCACGTGAATTAATAAGGCGCTAATCACTTCAATATCACATTAGAATCTTATATATTTTAACATGAATTGTTTTTATATGTTTTCACTTGTGTGTTTTATATGTTATACATTTGTGTGTTATGTTATGTGTATGTGATACACTTGTTTTATATGTTATCACTTATGTTTTTATATGTTATACACGTGTGTGTTTTTTATCGTACGTGTGTCTTCGCAAAACTTTAATGTGATAATTGTTCTCTTATGTGTATATATGTACATTTTATTATAAATATATTTCTATATTTCTAGTCGGTAAAAGATCTTTATAGCTCATGTTCTTTGTTTTGTTACTTACTTACTTACATCATATTCAAATTTGTCAATCCCCCCAAAATACACAATTATGATGAATGATCTTTAGAAAACACAGATTCGAGGTGCTCTCAACATAAACAGAGTCATCGACGTTTTTGCAAATGTCAAACTTTTTAAACTGTTTGCGCCCTTGGGTGACAACCTTACCCACACCTGAATTTTACTTTATTATCAAAATATTTCGAAAGTGATATTGATTTGAAATTTTGACTTTAGTCTGTTCTCAGTTTATTGTCTTGGGGCCTGTATTTTAATGAGTTGTCATATTTCCTTCAGATTTATCTGTATAAAAATATTTCATTATCTCAAATAAGCATAAGTGATATGACTAGATGGACTGTATATTGTGTAACGTAATTATTGGTTATTTAAAATTATAATCTTTAGCTCTACTCGTATTTAAAAAAAAACATGTCACATGTTAATGTAAATTGTCAATTATCAATATTGTCTATCAATACAAACTTTTGTTAATACATTCGGGGAGTTGGAATTAGGACGCAATTCTCCTTGATGCTGCCTGACCAGACGAGAAATAAGTCAGCAGCTCGTAAGGTGGTTTTATCTTCATTTATAATGTACCCAATAATCCACCTTAGTGGCTTTGAAAAAAGCACACGCGTCAAACGCGAGGGTGTGATAATTATTTTAAAAGATGTTATTTAATTTTTCTACTGAAATGTTGTTTGTTTGTTTTTTTTTTTTTTTTGTATTTACTGTAAAATTTAATAAATATTTATTTGCTGCTGATGGTGTTGAAATATTGAAAACTAAGTTTTACAGAATAAATAAAACATCTATTTGTTTACAATAAGTATCGTAGATGCGGAAGGGGAGAGTTTTATCGACATATCTGAATATTATAAGGGATCTCCCATCCTCAGCAAGAAAGATTAATATTTAATTTGAAATGCATGAAAATGAAGCTTGAAAATCATTTTTTTTTTCCATGAAACAATTTTCATTTTATCCATCTTTATAAGATTGAAGGTTTTTAGAGGTCTTCGAAAAGGTCTTATGAAAGTTCACATTTGTACCCAATAAAAGGGAAAAAAAATGCAGTTTTCAAGAAATAAGATTTGCTAGAATCCAGCCATAGATACCAGTGCTTATAAGCATGATATGAAATAACAAGTGATTGGTTGTGTCATGGTGGGAAAGCAAAAGCCTTTTACAGTATGTATTGTAGAGTAAATACAGGAAAGAGAAGACAAAAAAAAAAAAACATAAAGGTATAAAAATCATGATTATTTCTCTAAATGCTTGGATATCGTTTTTTTTTAACCTAAAATATAATTTTTGATCAATTTTCAATTTAAAAGTGTACTGATATTCCAATTGCTTTTTCTGCAAAAATATTGGAGATTTGACAATATTCCTTATATATCATGATTAACTTTAATTTTTAACTTTGAAGAAATACTGTTGATTAATTTAGGTAACTTTGTGGATTTAGAGATAATTCTATGAATATTTTTGATTACTTAACTGCAAACTTTATAATCCTGAGGATCGGACTACTTTTAATAGATAATTTTTAAAACTGCCACAATTAATTAACAATACTTCAATAACCTCATGCTCTTTACGAAAAGTTGGAATCAAATTAAAGGAGATAACTTATTTCAAAAGGTTACAAAGGGCAAGAAATATTTTATACGTTTCATCAATAAAAGGGTTTTTTTTTCTGGTCCATTTCTCTTAAAAGATTTAAAACATATTATTGTTTTTTTATCCCATACCCTACGATGACCCTTGATTAATGAATAAAAATGATCATGATCCATGATCATAGATGAAAATCAGCCGTCAGAATACAATTTGAGTCCTGCAAGCATTATTATTTCTACAGTTGCTTGACCAGTGCCAAATAAGAAACCAATTCCGCGATACTACAAATACATTAGACAGTACGTATTTCAAGATCCAAGTTCATTGTCAAACTAGGTAAATAAATTGCAGAGTTAACTGTTTCATGAAAATCAGCCTTTCCAAACAAAACTTTTATTTTAGCAAGATAATACTAAGGACAAATTCATATTTATCCAGTAAAGAATAAGCCAACGACTTCCGAATATCTTAACAGTTTCCATGAAATTTGTTCCTAAATAAGAAAAGATAATCCCACATATTGTCTTATTACCTGTCTTGGAAAAGTTAAAAATACCTGCTTACCAGTAAGGTTAGTGATATTTCCAAAAGATTACGATAAAAAAGAGGCACTGTAGGCAATGATGTATTTGTATTCAAGCCCATGCCTCCCATATGTTTGTAATGACAAATATCATATTTTGCTCTCGGGAACCAAAATGAGACGGGTACCCTTCAATATTTTAAAAATAGTGGCAGTGTTCATGGTTTGCCATGGGAAATGCAAATGTTCGTTCAAAGAGTAAAATTGGAAGTGCACAATGACACTATGTGACTAAGATTCTATAAATGTCATAGAATTTCATTCAGGGGTATAGGAGGATTTGCAGATAAGAGATGGGTACCCTAAAGCGTTACAGATGGACGGACGTACAGACAGACAGCTAGGCAGACGATTAGACACCTCGATGGCTACTCACGTATAATACCTCTCTTCCTCCCTGTTTTAAAGCAGAAGTATAATGTATAATAAGAAACAGCTCCTCAACGCTAAATATGTTGATCAAACCTTACATTTTTACTCTAGAACTCGGGACTGTCTAAATATATACATTCAAATGTTACACTTTTCAAAGAGTCTTCAACCTGTATGTCATACTTTTAAAAATTATTATGTATTTTGATTTCAGACTGACCTAAGGAATTTCCATCATAATGTTTGTTTCAACCGTGCATAGGCAATGCCAAAACATAAAATTAAAACCGTTATCCATGGCGTTTCTGGGTTATGGGTAGCTCGGTATCTTGGACAAATGATACCAAACATTAAGAGTATTTGCTAACTCGAATTGCCTCTTCAGATATCAGATTCGGGTAAAAAGTCACTATCCTCTGATATTTGAAGGTACATTTGCGAATAGATACTTTATATACATGTAGAAAATAAGTTTACTGCACCAAGAAAAACTTTTCAAAAATGCGTCAAATGCTTTCTTTGCCAAACATCTTGCACCAAAAATGAAAGTCAAAGAATTTTGAAAGAGACTTTAAAAGCCAAAGTCCCTCGTCCTCGTCAACACAAAAGGTGAACCAGAGACAGCAGCGTATAAAAAAATAGCATATTATAGAATGTATTATATTTGGATAGGGTGAGTTCACCATGCATCGGACACATACCTTGCTTCGGACAACTTTAGGCAATAAACTCTCTTTCAACTTAAGAGTTCTGTGTATTTATTTGTTTCTTTCATAAAGACGAAGATTTAAATTTTTTGATGATACCGATTGTGTTTATCATGTTGTGATAAAAATACCCCGCAAATGGCCTTGAAGTTACGTCATATTTTTACATCATCTAAGGGGAATAACCCGAAATTTAAGATTTTGCAATTTTTAGAGTTATCGTTCTTTTAAATTCGACTTCCACGGAACGAGTCGGACTTTGGTGAATTTGCCAGGGATTGGTAATTTTACATATATTATAATTAAATTTCACTTCAATGTTTGTTTAATTCTTATTAGAGCTGGTTTTTAGTAGTATGCTATTTTCACCGTACATCGGACACAAATTAACCATGCATCGGACACTTTTAGATGCAAAGGTAAGCACTACCATTTTCATACATAACCCAGCTGACGGCTGTTTTTTGCGGAAAAAGAAAATAAAAACTCTATTTTTCAGTCAAAATACAAGTTATCGATATATGACGTCTGGAATTTTACTCAATTTATTTCTACAAACCAGGGTATGATAAACCATGAGAAAAAGGCGCGAATTACGGCATTATAAGCATTTTAAAGCATTTCTTAGACAGAGTGAGGTCTCGAGAATCATTCTACATTTGTGCAATAATATCGTCGATTAAATTAAAGTTGAGGGTTATTTCTTAGATAAAAGGTGAAAATATATCCATATCAAGGATTTTAAAGCACTGTGATAAAGGTATGATATTTTTCCAGTCTCCATACCGTCTGCCCGATGCATGGTGAACAATGTCCGATCCATGGTGAATTTTCAGTTTTTTCTACAAACTCGATTTTCGGGGATATTTTCTCAATAAAGGGCATATAATTGTGCCCTAAATTGTTATTTTAATCACAAACTAAATGTTAAACCCCATTTTGATAATTTTCCGTCGGTAGCGATATCGCTAGAACTTGTTGAAGTACAAGGGTATCCGATGCATGGTGAATTCACCCTATTTACTTTTTCTCAATCTCCTTTTATATATATATATATGTATATATATTATAAAAATTTTTGTGACAATATGATCAGAAAAAAATTCGTTAACCCATTGAAGATTGTCTTTTATTGTTTATTGATTTTTTATATACTACTATAAGTTTTCTATTTCATTTTAACATGAGTACTGTAAATAACTTTTTTTCCTGAGAATTTTATTTTCGCGTAATTACGCGAAACAGTGCGCTGGCGAAAATTTAATTCACGCGTATAATAGTTTTCTTTAAGATTTTATAGAGTAATAACCGGTTACAAGTCGCGAAAATTTTGTCTCACTTATCAATAGTCAATGACCCTCTCGCGAAAACAAGGTGTCGCGAAAATTTAGTGATCTACAGTATATGCTACGTTGCATAGTTACAACTATTTTACACAATGATTTTGTAAATTTAACATTATTATCAGTTCTTAATGACCGGTCACGGTAGCCTAGTGGTAGAGCGTTCTCTGCGTGACCGGGAGGTCTGAGTTCGATTCTCGTTCGCGGCGCTGCGTCATACCTAAGACGTAAACATAGGTAGTAACTGTTCCTTCGCCAAGCGCTCGGCACTAGAAGTGAAAGTCACGGGTCTTTCGGATATGACCTTAAAAACGTAGGTCCCGTGTCACGGTCGGCGCTGGCACTATAAAGAACCCTCACTGCTCAATGGCCCTGAGTGCCGAGTATAGGTCTAAATTTGAAGCCCTTCACCGGCATACGGTGACGTCTCCATATGAGTGAAAAATTCTCAAGAGGGACGTTAAACAATATACAATCAATCAATAAATCAGTTCTTAATGACCTGGTCTATAAAAAAAATAACAACTTTGTATCAGACTTGTTTTTTACACATTCCATTCGTCAAAAAAAAATATTCAAGAAATTAAGGATTATATTACAGTTGTAGTTTCATAGAAATATTTGAGCAGAAAAAATGGATAAAACGGAAATGTCTTAGAATATGTACAATGAATTTTTTAAAACAAATTTTTAAATACAGTAATACGCCTGAATTACAGGAACTGAATAATTGCTAAATATTCTTTGTTCTATTGGAGCACAAATAAATCAGGTCAAATTAAACTACGTTGTTCTAAAATAGAAACGAAAAAAAAACTTAAGTTTTATCAGAATCGAAATGTCCGATGTTTCCTTGTCTTTTCAGGGTGCATTTTCTTGTATCTGAATTTCAAAACGGCAATTTTCATATTCAGTGTCTTCACTGTCATTCTGTCTGTTGTTTCTTTTTTCATGCAGTAAGATTATCAAGTACACAATCAACAACACTGCCACCAGAATAGAAGATACGATTACAGACATGCGTAGATAACCGTTGCTGAGTCTTAAGACCGTCACTTCCTCTTCCTCCTCCTCCTCGGCCTCAGTGATTTCCTCCTCCTCAGAGATTTCTAAAACTAAATAAATGAATTTTAATATTCAAACATAAATTCATCATTTCTATTTAAATTTGTACTCACATGAACACATCAGACACATATTTAATAGCACATCAATGACTTCACGGTTTACATTCAGTTACCACGAAATACAACAAGATATATACGTTACCGTGTCTGTTGTGTTATGATATCTAATTTGACGTATTTTGTTGGAACAAAAGGTACACGGGCCTAAAACGCCACCTGGGTATCATGCAACGCCTCACCAACATTTGAATTTTGCACGTGTTTTAAACCAGAAGCCATGAAATTCCAAATTTTGAACAAGGCACCATTGCTTATTATAACTTTACACTTAGCTTGCTTATGTTGGATACTTACATGTAATACCCAGAGGAGGATCAGATAGCAATGAGAAAATGCATTTCAACTTTATAACCAGTTTTGCATCCCACCCCACAGGAACAACTGACCCTGGGGCCACATATTTATAAATTTTCAAAAAGACATTTTGCTCTTCATATATAGTTGATAAATTAGAAAGTGCAGATTTCAAAGAATTCATTTATTTTCAGAATATGTAACCCCTCACCCCCAATACCTCTGACCTGAGGCCCCTGAAATTAATCATTTTGGAAAGGGGACTTTTCTTAATCAGAGATATCTACTTATATCATTTGCATAATACCCAGGAGCAAAGATTTTTTTTTTCAAAGAACTCGTGCATTTTCGTTATACATGTACAGGTATATTCAATGGAGTCCCGCCTTAACACCAGAACCAATAACAAAGGCGCCTTCAATTTAAAAATTTTGGAAGAGAAACCCTGGTTCATAATAACTATAAACTATAAAGTGAGTTTATTTAAAACCCAGGAGCAGAGGAGAAGATTTTAAAGAATTGACGCATTTTCACTATATAATTTAAAGAGCCCCGCCTCAACACCAGAACCCATTACATATACCCGAGGTCATAAAATTCACAATTTTTGCAGAGGCACTCCTGCTCATCATAACTATGAGTAGAGAAGAACATTTTCAAGGAAAAAATGCACTTTCACTCCACGATCTATATAGCCCCGCCCTTACACCAATATCCCTGACCCCGGGGCCATACTTAGTTAGTTAGTTTAATACCCAGAAGCAGAGAAGAATTTTTTCAAAGAAATAATGCGCTTTCACTATATAATCAATAAAGCTTCACTTTCACACTGACCCTGACCCTGGGGCCATTAATTTCACAATTTTGGTACAGAGCTCACTGCTGATTACAATGATCCCGAAAGTTTGACTGCTTGATGTCAAAGATTAGTGAAGAAGATTTTGAAACATTGTAGGGACAGTTTATTCACAATTTTGTTCTCCGTTATCCAAAAATGCCGATAGAACGACCCACGATGACTGCCAACCGACAAAATTGGATACATTGTAGTAATAAGTCACCTGAGGGAATTAAAAATGGCGAATGAATTGCATTCATTAGAAAGCTCCAGTTATTATTCAAAGGTGTCTAAATTGTCTCATATAGACGAAGTACCACGGCTAAATTTAATATAGTGTATGTCATTAAATTAACTTCAAACCGAATAAACATCAAGGTGTTCATTAACTAGTAGGCCTTTCAGTGATAAGATAGTTGACTGAATGATGCAGTTATAATCTGTATCTATGATAAACATCAACGTGACCTAGACATAGCCTAACAAAATATTACTATCGTTCATTATATCTGTTCATGGGTACATGTAGAACTATTACATTTCAAATCAAATATTTCTCCTAAGACTGCTCCTTAAGATACGCAGGTATGCTAAGATTGATTGATTGATCGTATATTGTTTAACGTCCCTGTCGAGAATTTTTCACTCATATGGAGATGTCACCTTTTGCCGGTGAAGGGCTTCAAATTTAGACCCATACTTTGCACTCAGGGCCATTGAGCAGTGAGAGTTCTTTATCGTGCCAGCGCCTACCGTGACACGGGACCTACGTTTTTAAGGTCACATCCGAAAGACACACCGACTGTCACTTCTGAAGCCGAGCGCTTGGCGAAGGAACAGTCACTACCTATTTTTACGTCTTAGGTTTGATGCGGCGCCAGGATCGTGACGGGAGGACCTGGTTTGATTCAAAATAAATTCAATACAATCGCACGAAGCCTTAATCGATCTTTTGATTTTTTTTTTACATATGAACCAATATTTTTTGTAAAACCATACCTAATTCAGCACTTTCCAAGTATTTAATGAGGCAAAATTTCCATCTGTACAAATCTTATGTTTTGAAATATACACCTTATTGTTGTTCTGTTGCATTATTTTTGTCACGAATGAGAGAGGAAAGGCCGACCGATATACGTTTATACATGTTTATAGCTAACTGTCTTTGAAAGAGAATATATCGATGAAAATAAATTAGCGCACCTCTTTTATAAACTGAACTCCATAGGAATTTCACAAAATATTAACGAAATTTGCTTTTAAACTCCATTTTACGTATCTTTGTACATGCCTTCTTAGGCAAATTCTCTTTACAAGACATAGCCAATTCCAAAGGTACTTGATGCATACATATGACATCATCGGTGAAAGTTTTTAATCAAAATGACAAATACAACATAACAAAATAAGACCGTTTTATTTTTGTTGACGTTTACACGTTTCTATCTATTCATTTTCTATAGTTTAAGTAAATCTTTATATACTAACTAAACAAAAACTTATGTTCTTAAATTGACGTTATCTTGCCTACTAGAACGTCATAATGTAGCACTTATTCAGTCAAGGTAGAATGTTTTGTATGCTTCATTATTCCCCCTACGCACAAATAGTCTCTAGTTGTACAAATAAGAATTTTTTTTTAATGCGGAGGTTTAGACGATTTATAAGCAGTCAATAATACAACTCTACAAAAACGCTTACAGTGTTACAATAGACTAAAAGTATCTTAAATTTGCACAACTTGACAACGTCAATAGACGGGTATTCAGTTAAAAATAAAGGATGATGTGACATAACTGCTTTCTGGGGCCCCTTTTTCCACGACGAATTATATTTAATCTACAACTATGTTGGTAGTTTTCAAACATGAGTGAATAAATACGACGCCTTTTGAATAGTTTTAATAGTTCAGACACATTTTTATTATAAGGAATACTGCATTGTCTTTGGTTTTTTAGACCCTATCACAGCTAAATTCGGCTAGGTTTGTGCGAATATTTTCTTTTGTGGCAAGAGAATGGGCGGGTCTTAGTACAATAGAGGGATATGCGTGTCCGAGAAGACCTTATATGGCTATTGTTATTATTTCGTTCTAGTCATTGTCCAATCCGATGACAGAACAACAGAACATGCTGGTTTATTACGTTTACATTTTATCGCAGACACGTGGTTTAGGTCAATTTACTTGTTATCCTTTTCTACATTTCAAACGTTTATAATGGTCAGCCAAATGCTCTTTATACTTAATGATACGCATGGATTTTCAGCATTTATGGTTTTTAGGACAAGAAATGCACATGAAACATGTATTCACCGATACTCGGTAATACGTGTAGACCTAGCGATTTGCTCACCAAACACGCTACAAAACTTTAAACTAATGTACATGTATATCATGTATATTCTATCAGTTGTTTGTAACTGTATATAAATACTGTGGTCTCGGAAATGGTACATATGTAGATCCGTGCCTAATCTGTGACTCAAATGCATAAAAAAAATATCGGAAAGCAGTAAAATTTCAAGCATGTTTCCATAGTATTTTTGTGGTACTCACTCGTAACGAATTTCATTTAGCTGATTGGTCAGTTACAAAGTATCGCCTGAGCCTCGATTAGCATATGAATTCATTCTTATGTCAGAAAATCTAGTTCCGTCGATCTGTTTATAATGGGAAAGGGCAAATAGATTTTACATTTTTTTTTAAAATAGCATGTGAGCGCTGTTAGGTACAATTTTCTCCTTTCACATATAGGTAGATTTCAATGAAATACAGGGATCAGCCAAAGGAGAAAATTGTACCTATCTGCGCTCGTATATTTTAAGGGCTTCAAAGAGTGGGGCGGGGTTAAAATGCAATGGGAATTGAATGTAAACATGATACCCCTACCCCAATCTAAGATCTATATCTTTCAAATCACGTTTCTATTTTTGTTAAAAATAGTATTCTATAAAGGTACACATATCAGTGATAAGTTACATACAAAAATTTGAGTAAAATTGAGACATTTAATTTTTTGTCAATATACGAGGGGCCGCTAGTCACCTCATCCTTTATAAACAAACACGCGTACTTTGAACACCCTAAATCATTTTACCCGAAATCAAACCAAATAATCAGATTCTTTGTCATTTTTAATTAAATACAAAAGAAACTAAAAAAAAATATACATGGATACAAGTCATGTATATTCTCAATCTAGGTTTTACTTTGTGAACCTGACAAATTACATTTTTATTTTAAGAACATGTAGATGCTGTTGTCATGGATAAGCGAATTTCGAATTCTATCTCCGATACAGTAATGTACAGTAATGTAATACTCCGATATTACATTCTCCGATATATACTCCGATATAATGATACATTTATCGGAGTAAATGTATCGATTACTCCGATACAGTAATGTACAGTAATGTAAATAAGTTTATTTGAATATTATTTTACATGGAAACTGACATCAAGCAAGCGTTCAATTATTTCAAAAACATCTATTATGATTTATTCAAAAGAGAAAAACAAAACAAAAAAGAAACAAACGAACAAATAAACTTTAAGTGACATGCATGAAAGAGTAAGTTGTGAATACCGATTAAACAATTAAATGTGCATATCCTTTTCAGTTTATGTCCGATCCTACTCTCTATTGAAAGTTCTGGAAAGTATGATGACTTCGAACACGAAGTGGTAAAGAAGATAATCTAGGCGATTAAAATAAATTGAGATTGAAATTATTACGAATAAATATCGATTAATGGTTATTATTATTAAAATGTGTGCTTTGATTAATATATTTTAGTAGTCTTTCTGCATACATTTCTTTTATATACAGTATATTATGGTTCATTGATACTATATCAGAGAGATAACTACATGTATGAATGATATAAATATTATAAAATTCCGTAAGTTGAATTGTTTTTATTTTTTTTTTGCCCCACAAGCTATGCTACAATTGTTTGTATTTTACTTATGAAATACATGTTTAAGGTCATAAAGGTTCAAACAACATTTTTTATGAGTTTATGAACCTTAAATACACTCGGTTATAAAGAAGTCAATGGGTCCTTCAAAAGTACTTCGCTATATCCGTAATTCGTTATATCCGTACAAGATAATAGTTAAATTTATATAGCCGGTATCCAAGATAACTCAGCTATATCTGTAAATTCGCAATATCCGTGTTCGTACTAAAGGAGTTTAGCTGTACCCATATATCTATTTGGCCTTTACGTATATTAATCCAACAAATATTCAAAAAAAGTTGTTAGATTACATGTTAGCAAAAAACGCCGATTTTTATGGATACGAGGGTTAGCATTGTCCAAATTGTTTAGTTTCTCTTTGCTTAATTAAATAAGTTATTATCATTACAGTAATAATATCCTTTATGTGACAGAGTTATATTAACTACAATTGTTTTATCTGTTATAATCTAATTCTGAGGTAACATTTTTTATTTGGTAATAGTAAAGTTGTTTCATGCTTAAAACTATTTAGATCGTGAACAATTACCTAATTTTAATCTATGACACCATTGTCTTAATTAACAGCCAATCAGCGTGGCTTCTCCTAATCACGTGACCATTTTTTAAAAATTTTTTACCAAAGGAGAAAGCCACACAAATTTACAAAGAAATTTTTTATCGAAAATCCCTCCATCCACCCCCTTTCTTCCACCGTCTTATATTATATTTGTTATATACATGTATGTACTTATATAAGTGTTCATATTTATTTGTTTGGCGTTTATTTTCCTTTAACCCACCCTTTTTGATGACAGGCATATCAGTGCCTGCTTTATGATATATGTAATTTTAGGGGGTCAGATTGCATAATATGTTACCAAAGATTTTTGTATTCTTTCAAAGTTTTTTCTAGTCTTGTCTGACCCCCTTATAAAATGTTTACATTTTTTCACTTTCACTTCTGTTGTTATTTTAATTTTAATCCATCAAAAAACTAGCTCAGTTGACTTGGCTTCGGTCTTGCATAATAACAAAAGAACATAAATATCTTTTCTTGTCAGGGCAAAAAGTCACATTTTATACATGTGATCATGTAATTATACGTTATTATACAAGGTTCACGAATATATCACACTTAATAAGAAAACTATGAAACAAATAAAGAAAGCAAGTATATATGTACATCAGTGCAAGAAAGCAAATGTAATTTACGTTAGTTACATTGTATAAAGTCGTGTTCTCTTATGCCGCTTCACACGTGTCTGTTTACATTATTTTTTTTAAAGTAAAAATCCACTCTTGACTTCGAGACCTATTTAAAATCACTACTTTCCGTGTTTTGGCAGATTCAAATTTCACTCGAAATTTATTCAAATGTATTGTATACTTACATTGTAGGAAGCTGAGAATACACTTTGTTTGATGTCGTTCATGGCCCTGAAAGTTCTCCACTGTTTGCGTTTAACTAACAGTACTCTACTTCTTGCATGCGGTAACTATTTTCGGTATATAGAAAAGCTATCCTTGGATCTTATATTATTTAAAAAGAACTTTTCTATCAGAATGTAGTATGTATGTAATGTCAATTCTGGACTTTTTGAACGGTCTCTGATGTAAATAAATTATATCTATATATATATATATAAAATTACATCCCTGTGCGCCGGTTACGCATTTGACGATGTCATTTGTATCAAACTCAAATCCGACGATACTTTGATAATCAGGATAATAATTGTTTGCTTCTAATGCCATTTATATGAAAATTTAACATGTTATTTAATTTTTGATACTGGTTTAATTGATTTAAATATGTGTTCATTGTTTAACATAATATCCCCCAAAAATGAAAGCAAATCTAATAATATTATGTGTAAACTATTCACAATTATGTTTGTATGCAGACATACCATATCGACCTTAATATAAATCGTCCCAATTTTATTATATGAAAGATATATAATTAAGAATTCCAAATTTTCAAAGACAAATAGAAAATAGTATGACTATATATGCAGCAATTAGTTAGTAATGATTGCAATTTAACAAAGCTATAAACATTGTCGAGGACCCTTTGGGACAACCTCACATCTACAATTTATATATAATCAATTTGTTAATAACGGTTTCGTACCTGCACATCCTGCAACGAAATCACACGAGCTTATGTTACAGTTGCACGTGTTTGTACATTTATCACCAAATTGTGGATACGGACAAGAATGACTACAATTTTCTCCGTACAATCCTGGGGAACAATCTACAAGATTTCAGATCAAAAGCCAGAATTAGTAATACGACATTTTAGGATTTCATTCAAGTAGTTTTCAAGGAGAGAATAAGATAAAAATACAATATATGTTGTTTTCTGTGATAAATACCCGGAGGATGCATTAAATCTAGTCAACTTACCAAGACACTGTTGAAGTGTGGAGTTCCAAGATTTGCCAGGGCAACAACCATTGTAGAAGCTATCCCTAGATTCATATGAAATATACCCCGTAAAAGCAGAAATTTTAGCAAAGATTCATTTTTGGGATCTAGTTTTAGCACGTGTGTTGGATCGCTCAAATTAAGTATTTATTTTGCATTAGAAGATGCTATTACATTTCCATGATTCTTAATATAGCTAAAATACTTTTTTTAAAATTTAAATTCAGTATAAATCGCTAAATTTGCAATTCGATGAAAATTCCACTTATACAGTAATCGCCAAATCATTAATAACATTAAAAAAAGCAATTTCAGTTTAACTGTGAAAATATTTCACTTACTCCGAACAAGGTCCTTTGGTCAAAATACCGGAGTGTACAATAAGTAACAGAAAAGCGGTTATATTTTTAACGGTTAACAAAATGCCCAGGGGGCTTTTATATCTATGAGAATTTCTCGATTTTAAAATCATTGTACCCCTGCACAAATACACCATTCCCAAACTAGTTTATTTAAATTTCCTTGTTTTATTTTTTGTTATTTATTTTTCTTTTTGAAAAATCGTTCTTCCGCAAAATTCCCTGTACTACTAAAATAATTTTCCAGTAAAACATAGCACTTGTAAATAGGAAAACTTCATTATTTAGTACACGTGTGCTTCCAAACAAATATTTATATTTCTTGATTCCTTTTATTCGTTGATAAAAAAAACATACTTTAGAAAATGCATACTGAATTTCTGTGTTTTTCTATAGTTGAAATTAAATCTTTCTAAGGATCTTATTTACTTACGAAAGACTAGATTTAAAATGTACAACCAATTGCATTGATTGCTTTAGTATTGTAATATTGATAAACGTGTTATAAATAAGTTGCCCACAAGCTTATAATAGAAAAGCTGATATTTTATAGAAATCAATTAATAAAATAGTTATTTTCCATGATAATCACGTGAAAACACATGATTACGTATTTCTCAATAAGCATTCAACAAAAGAACTCAGTGGTACAAAAGGAGTTGCAGGTAAGAGATGGATACCCTTCAATTTTATACAAAAATCACAGTGTCAATGTTTCGCTCTGGAAAACCGAAAATATATGCCCGTTTAAAGAGTAAAATAGGAAGTGTAAAATGGCACTATATAACAAAGATTCTGTAAAAGTCTTACTTAATTTAATTTAGGAATAACAGAGGATTTGCTGATAAGAGACTGGTACCCTAAAGCTTTACAGATGGACGGACATCACGATTAATGTATACACCTTTGTTTGATATAAAATACAACCTGAAATGTAGATGCCTGATAAGACCCAATACGCCTTGGAGAATTGTGACATTTAAATAATAATGCAAAAAATGTGCGGGCGACATAACAATGACTGTGTTGTGCAATAACAATTTCTACTTTTGTCTGATAAAAATGAGCCAAAAGCAGGAGGACACAATACACAGCTCTGCAACGTAAAAGAAGGCTATGGCATACCGTAATGTTGACGGTTTCATGATGTCGCAAATAAAGCAGCACCCTATCTCCGATAATTAACCACCAATAAGTTTTAAGATTCAATTTTGAGATCGTCTTCTTTATTTTATACAGGAAGGAAAAAGAAACGCAGGGTAGCATAATTTTCGAAAACTTTTTGACCGCATGACAAAAAATTACGAAAATTGGTCAGATGTGAAATATAGTTACTAAGCACCAAAATCAGTGTTCAGAATTACTCAACCGTGAACTGTATGACGTCACGTAGGGAAACGCTAAGAAGTCCATAACACGTGCAATTTGCTGAGGGAGAATTTGTCAGCAAATCTTGTTGCACCAAATGATGCACCTGAGGTACACAAATGGTTTGTAGCCTTTGTAAAAGAAGGTATGGAATGGTTTTCAATCAACCGTGACGTAAACGCGAAACAGAGTCATGTCACGGACAGTTTATTCGTCCTGCCATCTCATTGAGTATTTCTTTGGCGCGGTTTCCCATACCCAATATAGCCAGCTGGTTTTGAAAGAAAAACACTCTGATGTATTCCATGGAAAGGAAAAGTAAGGTTCTGAAGATGCGTTGGAGAGACATTGAAGATAATGAGTTTTTGATTTTCACATTTGTGGGATGTCGTCATATGAACTTTAATAACTCATGAATTATTGGACAAAATCAAATGGGATTTTGGTTTCATATTTTTACAGATGATTTTTAAGTTAGATAGGAATACCGAAAATAAAAATGAAAAGAGAAATAAATTTTTTCACCTCAAAAGTGACCCCCCCCCTCCCGTATGATTATAATATCAAAGTCCAAGTTGTGTTTTTAGGAGAGACCCGAAATAAACGTCAAATCAAAGAGTAAAATAAGAGGTGCACAATTGCATTGTGTACGGAAGAATGTGTGAAAGTATTATTAAATTTAGTTCAGTGGTAAAGAAGAAGGTATGGATAAAAGATGGCTGCCCTTTAATATTTAAGAATGACAGTGTCCTTGTCTTCGTATGGGAAACCCAAAACATGTGTCCGATCAAAAAGGAAGATAAGAGGTGCACAATGCCATTTTGTTCCCAAGATTAAATTCAACTCGGTTTATAAGAGGAGTTGCTTGTAAGACATGGATACCTTAAAGCGTAACAGAAGGACAGACACACAGAAAGACGGAGAGACGGACTGATGTGCAGCTAGAGGGACTGTCATCCCGCTCACTATACTTAGTTTTTCAAGAGAGGGATTAAGAAAAGACTGAAGCTTAATTGATTTACTCTCGACAGAAATTGCTTTACTTCATTATCTATAAAATATTTCAGATGATAACCATTAAAACATGTGGATTTTATTGAAAAAAAAAAATATTTGACCTTATCTTTAAAGGATATTCTTTTCTGATAAATCTTTAATAAGTTAGTGTGTGCTTTTTAGTTTTCAAAGAAAACAATATGCTCACCCTTTTTACATATCTGACTTTTTTTTCATTTAAAGTACAGCACCCGACATTGTCAGTACAACCAATGTGATGTAAAACTAGGTAACTTAATATTCATCAATCAATACTGATTTAAATAGACATAGTCGATATTCCTATTACATTACTTACGATAACTTATGTGCAATTGTCAGGAGAGGGAAGGGGGTTCAATTTATCGGTTTCTATATGATGAAGTTACAATCACAACGCAGTACAGTTATGGTGCGCAATGGAAATATCGACTAAATTTTGTATTTTAAAATGTATTCGTAATTGGTATGGCGATTATTTTTAGTACATTATCTATATAATTGTAATTATGATTAATAACTACATATCAAGGACGATTATATTTTATATTTAGTCTAGTCCCGTGATGCGGCAGTCATGCGATTTTAGCACTTTGACTTGAAGTATTGATGTTACATATAAACTAGTGTCTATGAAACAATTTCTATGAAAATACTTCCGGTGTTTGACTTGATAGTGTCAAAAGCATACGTACATGTATTTGTAGTTTCCGGAACTTTTAAGCACGTTTGCATTTTGATCATCCTCATATCAACAAAGTTTCCTAGAAGATATTTTTAACTCAAGTTGTTGCATGATTTATAATGTAAAACTGTATTTGACTTCATTTCACTTCCTAGTGCACTTGCCAGCATGACAAATTGAATATGTAGAAAAAGATTTCATGAATATTAGCTTATTTCGGCATAAAAATAATTTATATGATGGCAATATGTGCATGTTGCTAAGAAGACAAAATTTAAAATAAATTATAATGTAAAGATATACATCTGAGAGCGATGGATTTTAAGTTCTTTCGGTATCCTAAAAAAATCCAAATGTCTTTGATTCAATAACATATTTTTAATGATATTTTTATTTTGCGTTATTTATACTTATATACTGACTCGCAAAAGAAACGTAACACCCTACTTTAGGGTGAAATAATTATGTAAAGTAAAAAAATTGTACCTTAAATTATGGATACAGTACAGGCAACGCGGATCCCGTATTAGACCGCGTCCCCTCCGCGGTGTATTAATCCTTTCCGCGTTACACCGTCGCGGGTTTTGATCGCGGTGCTACCTGAGACCGTGTTTACACCGCGGCGGGGCCCGCTACCGTTATTCTTCAGCTTAGATGTTCTTACCTGTAAAACATTGTCGATTTTTAATCGTGTCGAAATGAGGGGGGGGGGAGGATTACGACCACATTAATATTAATAGATTTATACCATTACATGGATTCTTTAAAAATTCATTTTTAAGTTTTATCAAATTGTTTAATAAAAAACATCTTTCTTTTTTTTTTTTTAACAATGGTCACTCAAAATTAATTTCAAAAACGTCTGTTAACAGTTATACATGTACAGTATAGGATGAAATAAAGTTGAATAATTTATCGAATATATTAACTTTAAGTTTATTTTCAAAATCAATAATGCCACCCCAAATGATCTTCAAATTGCTAAAAAGGTATAATTAAAATTTAAAGAATGCCATGATATCGCTTCTCTTTATATGCACTGTAATCCGGTGTTCACAAATAGCCCGTGCAGTTGCAGTTACATGTAGCTATGTGTTTATTTATCTGCGAGATTATATCAGTCATTTGGTTTCATTTAGAAAAGTACCGTTACTTCTGTATACATGTCTGTTATAAATAATAGCATGAAAAACGATGATAGATAGTGATACATAATTACAATTAAATTTTAACAAAACACGCCTAAGTGTAGGAATACCGTTGCTCCATTATTATGCGCTACACTGTAAGACTATGAACTAAATATCGACGATTTTTTTTTGGGGGGGGGTGTCTTGTTAATAAAATAATCACAGGTATTTCTATTCAGAATATCAATAATATCATATCTAGTATTTGAATGTATTTCTATTTTCTGCTCTTTTCGAAAATTACTAAAATCATGTTTATGAACATAAACAAAACAGATTTCTCCGGTTCAAATAAAACACAAACACAAATATGGGCCCTTAAAATATTTGAACACACAACACAGAAATTAACTTATTTTAATCAGCAAGTTACCATGCTTCAAGTTTTCAGAAGTCTGTGTAACCGTTCGGTTTTCCTCAGGTAAGTTGGTGTGGAGTGGAGCTTACTCGAAGCGGCTGAGAAGCCCCGAGGGAACGACGCTGTCTAGTGTACATACTACCTATATACACAGGATGTTACCTGAGTGTATTACCTGTATGCGTTTTCCTACGACATTGCAAAACGAAGTTGTTTTTTTTTTCATGTGTAGCTCATGAATTGAAATGCATGAAATAAAGAATGTTTTTATTGCAGACAGAATCCTTTTTAAATTTTTTGTTTCAAAAAAATATTTTCAATAATTCGACAATTTTAACATGTTTAATATACTGTGTTTTTCGTAATCAAATTTTATAACAAAAATACATTTTATTTTACCACCAAAATCTGTCGTTGTAATCTGGCGACAAAAAGGGAAGTAATTCAAATTACATGTCATGTACATAATATGCTAAACGAAAGAAGAAAGTGGATCA